ACACACACCGACACACCGACACACACACACACACGTTTAAAACATTGATGATCTGAATTACAGGTTGAACTCATTAACTCATATGACTCAGAGTTTTAAAAGGAGAGTTGCGAATGCTTGTAAAATTACACAGCATGAACCGTGAAACTCTTAATGAGCTAGAGATGGTGAACTCATGGATCACTACCATTTATACTGCAGGAGAATAAAGTTCAAACCTTAACTACGTTCGTCCCGTCAGCCGCAGACACAAAGTAGAATGGGAGTGCTTGTTTCTTCCCAAAGCTAAAGCTTCTCTGTGTCACCTTCAAATCAGCTGCACACAAGAAAAAACACACGTCTTTATATCTGTTATTCTAGAGTCAACACTGGAGTATGAACAATGAACACAAATCAGAAAATATCATGTTGAAATCAGTATGAGTTGAATATTACCTCCCCAGAGGAGGTTTGTGTGTTTGTCAGCAGGATTACACAAAAACTACTGAACAGATTTACACAAAACTTGAAGGACGGATGAGACGTGGGCCGGGAAAGGACACACACAATTTTGGGGGCGGATGTAGTGATATTTTTTTATACTCTAACTACACAAGATAGATTATTGTCATTTTCACCACTTTTCCCAATGAATAGAATCTAGCTGAAATAAATCAGGCATATTTAAGGGACTAAATCAGGCGTGTGTAATTTCATGCAGCTTGATTGAATTTAAAGGGACTGTTGGGCCCTGGTGGACGTATGTACGCTCCGCAACCAGACCCACCATCGATTTTGTTTGCAACCACACAGCAGGGTATCTCCGGTCTGTACTCTCTCAGCTCCTTGTACCAGTTGGCCAAGTTCTTGTATGTGATCTTCCGTTGAACGTCAAAAACCTTAAACAGAAAGCAGAACACAGAGATGTTCAGCCTGCTCTGCTCAGGTCGACTGGTGTCAACAGCCGTCTGTCGAGCCCTTGTTGACCATGTCCCTGTCAGAAAATCACCACCTCCATCTGAAATCCCATTATGTGACTATATCGAGGAACATTTGTGAGGTAAACACTTCAACGCCAAGCAAGCGTACAAACAACACAATGTTTTTTAACGTCTCTGATTACTACAACTGTTCTCTGTTCACTTTCCTGTAAGTTCCTTGAGTGAAGCACCTGTCGTGAAGCCAGCACTGTGTCTTACCATGATGCAAGCGTGAGCTTTGTGGTAGTATGAGGGATGCATGCTCTGAAACCTCTCCTGACCAGCTGTGTCCCAGAAATCTGTGGATCAAAAACAACACTAAACAAATCTGTCCCTGCAGGAGCAGCGTTGACCCATGCTCCTAATGCTGCGGATTTAAGATGAATGTCATTTGGCTGAAATCATTTTTCTGTCACCAGAAGTACAGTATCATACACAGTATCATACATACCCACTGCTACTGTCTTGTTCCCTACAGTGGCTGTGTGTTTGTAGAGAGTCAGAGCGTAGGTTGACAACTGCTGCGGACGACTGTGCAAAGAGTTGAGGATCTTGATCTCTCTTGTTGGAGACATGGTTGATCTTTAACACCATGATGTTGTGACATTGACTGTAACAGCTTTGACACACTGTGATATAATGTGATCATCAAAATAATACAAACACTGCAAATTTGACATTTTTAAAGCTGATACATGTCAAGTCAGATTTATCTATAAACCAGGTGCTTTACTTGTACTTTACTTTCTCAAGCAGACTGAGCCTGGTATTGTTTTTATGAACTATAATACAGAATGTTAAAATGCAGAATGGAATCAGTTCGTAGCACAGTTGTATCAGCTTTGAGTTTAGACTGTTGCATATCTTCTAATCTAGTTTCCATGCAACATTTTCTATAACAATTCTGTCTCTCACAGGAAATTAAACAAGTGATAACACCAATTGAACTAGTTCATAATGTGTGTGACAATAAGTGTGGATATGAATATGCTTTGTAGTTTCTTTTGTCATTTACGTGAAACAGCGCAGGTCTTGGGACACAAGTCACATTTCATCAGAGCCTTGTGATAATAAATCTTACAATTATGAATCTCGTCTTATTTTCTTTTATCTCACGAACATGGGACAGGAAGACAACACGAGCCTGGATGATAGAGACAGACACTGTTAGAGTTAAAACAGAGAAATAATACAAATGAAGGATACTATTCGTCCAAGAGAAACCTCTCCATCAGCCTAGAGGGAGAGAAAAACAAGAGGTTCTATCCAGGACAGAAGATCATCAGGAGTAAAAGCTCCTCTCACATTACGATCACTGACACTTACTTAGATTTGCCCACAGCGCTGTCACCCAGACAGATGATCTTCACCTGTTCGTCCGCATCGTATTTCTTCTGGTCCAGTTCAGGGAGACTGTCCGCGTCTCCGGCCATGTCGCTCCTTTATCACAGCTTTGACTGAACGACTTTATCTCTTAGTTCCCTGAGCCGCCGCTTCCTCCGCGACGACGCGCGTTAGCTAGCTTGTCACCGGTTAGCCGAGGTTAGCGTCGCCAGGATCGGTGTGCACTCGCTCATTTCGCCGGTCCGCGTGTTGTTACACCAACACAAGTGGTTCCAGCAGACTCGTCGCAGAGACGGTCACTGGTCACACGTGTGTTTCTAAAGAGGCTCGTAGCCGCTGGGCTGTTTCCGTCACCCTGCGCTGAGAGACGCTGGAGGAGGCTAGCAGTTAGCTAACACCGCTAACTGAAATCATTCGTTGACAAAGATGAATCATCCAAATATCCTGGATTCTTTTACACATGCGACTCTTTTAAAACACAATCATACTGAGTGTCGCGCCCTTCACTCGTCTGTGGATCCAGAAACTCAGTTTGTAGATGAAGCATCGAGTCTCCGGCGGTTCTCGTTCCTATGCAACGGGGACGCCTGAAGGACCACTGCACAGTGTGTGCAGCTGTCCTCACATGTGCCTGTCAGAAATCTCACATTCCGAAATTTAAATTTAGCTAAACATTTATATCACATTCAAAATATCTGTTTACATATAAAACATTCTAGAAACATTTCAGTAAGAATGAAACTTTTTTTCATGATCCTCTTATTTCAGGTTCACAAATCACCAGAAGAAAGGTTTCTTGGAGCCTATTACACAATAATATGACATCAAACCAAATAATACATGTGCTAAAGTAAACAGTTTTAGTGGCATTGAATGACAGTGAGCCACAAACGTTGAATATATATTCCTGATTTATTCGTGTTGATGTTTCTCTGATAATAAGAATAACTCCCAGTGGATGAAATCGAAATGTTACCGACACTGATTTCTGTGACACTTGTCCTCCACACTGATAAACATATAAGTCTTATAATGTCAAAGTGAAAGCAAAGAGATTTCATGAATATCTACCTTCTCTGCAGCTTTGAACCTGCACAGACTGAACTTTATCAGCTTTCAGATTTCCTCTTAATATGCTCAAGCTCTGTGAAGTTGATGAGCAGCAACATTCAAATTCAAGATTCAAGATGTCCTCTCACAAGTTGCTGATTGGACTGTTTGGTTGAGCCACTCACAGACTATAAGAACATTCTTCCTCCTGTAGCTTCATATTAATTCATAATCAACGTCTTGCTGTCTTTCTCATTAATCACCTTCTTCCGGCCGACAGGTCTTTGCTCATGAGTTGCTGAATGTGTAGACTCGGGATTTTTCACCAAAAATGTTTTTAGAATTGGAATTTTAATCATTTAAAGATTTTAATGGAATTAACTTCCTGTTGAAATTATTCAGTTGTTGCAGGGCCTGTAATATTGACAGAGTCATTGTGCTCACTTTATTTGTATTAAACCTAAATAGATGTTATGATGTGTTATTATGTTACCGACTGAGAATGTGAATTGAACAGTAAAAAGAAAAAGCTGGACTAAAAAATAAAGCTGGTTAAAAAAGACTTTCATAAGGATCACATTGAATTAATACAAATGTCATGACACCGACAGTGGAAAGTAAAAACACAACAAGCTCTAAATCTGTGGTGATAAAAGACGACGTCAGGAATCCCCAGTAATTTTCTCTTTGTGCTTTATTTGATGCTGTTATGTGATTTATTTTTCAGTCACAATAAGAGATCGTGTCGTCATTCAGCCACATTGACAATGAGGGGTGAGATGAATTCTGAGTGACGAATCCCAAAGGAGAAGCTCGGAGCTTTTGCTTTTGTCGTGGTCACCTAGAAAGAGAACATTCAATGAGTGAACAATATCCAAACCTCCTTGATGATTATTGAGTAATAATGAGGTTTCTCACCTGCTCAGGACAGTGTGAGCCAGGCCCTGGTTTCTGGGTGGTTTCACCAGGAGCAAAGTTGCGGCCCGTCATGCTGAACTGTGGCGGTTTCTGACTGTAAGTACAGGGGTCCACCACTTTGTAGGCAGCAGGGCCAGGAGTCTGGAGGTGTAATTAAAGTATAGAGAACAAGAGTAAGAGTCGATTTAAAAAAATACATTTCATGATTGTGTACATGTACCTTGTTCAGGTCCTCGTGGAAGCTTCCAGTTTTGCTGCGTCCACAGAGTGAGTGGGCGGGAGCTGTAGCTGTGACCATGGTTTTGGGCCCCAGCACAGGGGGCAGTGTGTACGAGGCTGGACCTGCAGAACAGGCCAGTGCTGAACTTTATATTCTGTCTGCAATTAAAGTGCTAAAAACTAAAGCTGACAAAAAATCCAATATGTTACCTGGTGTTTTGTTGATGCTGAAGTATTTGCTTCTACCAAACAGAGAATAAGCAGGAGCGGAGTGAAAGGTCAACTTCCCTGAAAGCTCGGGGGAGTACTGGCCTGAAACACAGAGGGAAGATAAAAAGTCCCAGATGACAGTGTGCATCATCACTAAAGTGGATATTGATTGCATGTATCTGAAATCAGCAATGCTTAATTTCCACCTCCTCATACAAAGTGTGTTTTCTGTGTGATTGGTTTTGCTGACCTGGTCCGGGGCCCTGGAACAATCCCTGCTCCTTCGAGCGGCTGTGCAGTGAAAATGCAGGAGCGCCGCCTCTGCCCGTTCTGGTGATGTTGGAGTGGATGAGGTACCTCGGTCCAGGGGAGCAGTTTGACAGTCCCTGGTCATGACGCGTCCCGAAGCTGAACATTGGGGCTTTGTATTTAGTAGGGTCATGTTTCGGAACACCTTTATGAGAGGAAACAAGGATGTACATGTCAGGTATGAAAATAAAATTGGTGTTGGTGGTGAAAAGGGCTTGATGGACATCTTGACTCTACCTGTTAGTCCAGGCAGCGCATACTTCGGTCCTGGGCTACCATAGAGGGCAGCTATGGGCCCTCTTGGTTTGTGGGGCCTCCATGTTCCAACCCAAAGTTCAGCACTTGCCATTTCCTTTAAGAGAGTGTGAATGAAAGCACATTTGTCGTTTGGCTTTTATGTCATAAAAGAGAAGGAATAATAAAATGAGCTGTCACTCATACACTCAGTGCTGCTGTAGGGGGAAATAAGTGATTTAAAAAGGGACAAAATGTCGTCTAGGGCTGTTGAGGCATGAAAGAAATCTAATTCCAGGTAGTGGACAGTTAAAATGATGTGAAGTACATTGTGAAAGAGTGTTAAAGTCACTAACAGATCTGTCCACCACAAGGCTTTGGAGGGTTTTCATAAAACTGAACCAACTTTGATGGAAAACGGTCAGAAGTGTGCCTCAGACTGAAATCAGTTGTCATAAAACTAATGAAACAATCTTATTGAAACTCAACAGTAAGATACAGAATACAAATAGCAAAGTTTTCTCCAGGGACTGTATTTCAAGTCCAAATATTTCACCATGAAAACATATAGCTCAATGAAATATTCAGTTTTCAGGGCATACAAACATTAAGACATAAACAAAATACATACAAAGTACATCTCTCTCTGTATTTCTGGATCCTAACTATTTCTGTGACTTTCACCGAAACAGCAGCAGCATCAGTCACTCATATATCTTTTAGGTTATTTCATAAAATAGTTACATCACAGGTTGTCTATCAGTGTATTCTATTTCTATATCTTTTTAAGTAAAGTGAAGAGTAAACAAATGTCACAAATCACAAGATGTCTGCTGAGGACATACAAGCTGTGATAAAATAACATGAGATAAAATAGATGATTGAATGTATAAATATTTTTACCTTATAAAAATCCTGAGCGTACAGCCAGTGGCCCTCTGTGGCAGGTTTTATTTCTGCATGTTCTCTGAGCCCAGACACAGATTGTTTACTGGTTGTCAACTTCACCGCGACAATGTTTCCATGGAGATGACTCTTTGACAGGCATGTTAAAATGTGTTTGTGTGTATGTGTGTGTGTTTAAACAGTGGAGGAATTCTCAGCATGTGAATACACAGTGTACGTACGAGTGTAAATGATTAATTATGTATAAAAAAGTGCAACTGACCACAAGGTCACACTGTGAAACAATAACTCAAGTACAGGAGCTCGAGTGAAAGTCGACATGAAGCAAAAACTTGATGAGATCAAATCAGAAAGATTAATTCAATCTGTGACATAATAAAACTTTTTTCAAATATGCATCATTTCATCACTCAATGACTCAATTCAAATATTTAATATTTAATGTTTGATCATCTTTTGCTTCCTTCTTGCTGATTGACATTGAAAAGCATTTATTGTGTTTTATTGGAGTTTAGTGAAAATATAAGCGAAAACAGAAACACAAATAAGATCAAAGATGTTCTTTGTATAATTTATTATTGTATCTACAAATACAGAAGCAGTAGAAACGGCTAAGTTTGAATCCACATGAATTGTGTATTTGTTATATTTTATATATGTAAATAAATTATAACTGGGTTGTAAGATGTGAAGGAGACTCTCTCATTCTTTTCACTGCAGATGTTTTCATATAATGTAGGTTTGCAGTGTTAATAACAGTGATGCCGGCTCGTGACAGTGAGTCCACACCCTGAAACTGAACATATGGAGTTCATCTTCATCATCATCAACACCTGCACTGTTCTCAAGTCAAAATGTAAAAATTTGTATAAAAGTTGAAAAAAAATTGTTCACAGTCGGGTTTCCAGGATAATTTACTGACTCATTTCAAATTAAAAACTGCTCAGGTTGTTGTCATCGTTCTTCAGAGTGTAGCACTGGTGCTGCGGGTCATCGTCAGGCATCTGTAGTTTTCGAAAGTTTCTCGCAAACTGGCCTTTAGGACCTTCATCAAAGTTGCAAGGTTTACCATTTCCTCTAGAGGGCGCTAAAAACAAACAAACATACCGATAGTGAACTCAACATATTCAGTCTTTCAGGAGCAGAAGAATGTGTGAGGCTTTATTGCACCATCAGTCCACATGTGTCTCACCTTTGTAAGCGCTCGGATCAGCCGCAGCAGCAACCCCTCCCCCCTGTGAGGACACAGGCTGGTCACTGTGCTCACACAGCTCAGCAGACAGTAGATGGTGTGTCTCTGTGGCTGAAATAACAAATAACTCTTTCGCTCTTTCTAAAAGTTTCATCATTCTGGGATGTGTGCACCTGTGCCCTTACCTTCTTGAGCACACTGAGAGACTTCCTGTTTTTTGCTCCTATACACAACCTGTGCACATCCTCTGCACTTAGAACAGGCTCCTGGATTAGGATTAAAAAACAGAAACAGTATGTGAAGCCTCTCCTGGACACATTGATGTGAGTGGCATCACAGCCTCTTGTTCGATGTCACTGACCCTTAATTTTTCCAGCCAGGTCCACAACAGACAACTGAGAACCTGAGGATCTGACTCAGTGACCAGCAGAGCCCATCCACAGTCACTACTGTTCAGCTCCTCCTGGTGTGAAGATGAGTGACGAGGTCAAACTCAATTATCTGTAAATCACCTCTCACCTGTGTTTGATCTTTTTTTACCTGCAGCAGAGCCGATCTTTGCAGTATGGTTTCCCCTGCAGCACCTTGGTCTGCCAGTGCCTGAGCAATAGCACGGGCCACTGAGGTTGGGCCTGGATTATGTGGGTTTCTGCACAGCTTTCACAAGACAAAAATGTGAATGATTTAAGGGGTTCACATTTTCTTTTTTCATCAGTTTGATTCTAAAGCAGGATTCATAACTACCTCAATGTTGGAGCTGTATTTGGGAAGCGTTTTATGAGCTGTGCACAACCTCTTAGTGCAGTTGTTGCTGGTTTTCATGCTGGACAATGGGATGTTGAGAGACTCCTGTTTGGAGATCTGGTGACCTGGTGAAAGTGAGGCAGCGACCAGACTGAACGGCTTCAGATCCGGCCGCACCAGATCCTGCACACACCAGTGCCTCTCATTTCCAAGAGCTGCGGAGCAGTATGGACTCAGCTCCAGATCCTTCAGGACAGAATGAAAGAGAGTGAGAAAAGCCTCAGTGATGCTAAATGTTTTATTCATTTATTTAAATTCTGCCAGATGCTTAATGTGAAATCTGACCTCATTTACTGTGATCTTTCTGAGGTCAGAGTCGCTGTAGCTGCGTTTGTCCAGCAGGACGTCTCTCTTTCTCTCCAAGAATCCCAGCGGCTCGTCCCAGGAGGACACCGACCCCAAGCCCTCCCACGAGCCCTTATGACCCTCCCTCAGCAAGGGCAAGTACTGTTTGGCCACCAGGGTTTCCCTCACAGTCCTGCTCAGGGTCCTCAGTGCTGACCTCTTCTCCAGCTCGGCTTGGACCTCTGGAGGAGCCGGGAGACCCAGGGCCAAGCAGGAGATGCGCACACACAGGAGGTACAGCACCTGATGAGGTGGTCAAGTGGCAATCAGAGAGAAAAATCTGTTCGACAGTGAAGTCACGTATGGTCATGGCACAGGATTAGTGTTGTGTAATGATCAAGTCCTCACCTTTGGTGTTTGTCTGAGGGTGCGTCCCTCCTGGCCGTGCAGCAGCAGTGACTGTCGGTTTAGGTAATGCTGCAGGGTGAAGTGGGCTCCGTGCCGCAGGCTGAGGTCTGGATACTGGACCAGCTGAGTGCCAAGCAGGCGAGCAAAGTCAAAAACCTGGCTGATCTGGGCCCGGGTCTGGATGGAGCGAGGCCGTTTGATCCGCACGTAGTGGACGGCCTCACTTGGGCTGATTCGCAGGGTGTAGATCAGGTAACAGGCTATCAGCACACCTGAGCAGGGAGAGCACATGGATGAACAAACACAGTGAATATACAGGACATGACAGAGACATGTGCACACGCCTACTGGTACATGATGATTCCTACCTGTCCTGCCCAAGCCTGCATGGCAGTGCACGGCTACTCTTCCCTCCCTCACTGCAAACGCCAAAACCTTCACCCCATCAATTAACCCAACGAGAGAGGACACACCGAAGTCCGGCATTGCAAAGTTGTAAAAGTAAACTGCAAAACACAGGAGTGCATTTAGGAACATAATGTAAAATCATATAGATAAACTGTATTTGTAGAGACATGACATAGCGTAACTCATTAGTCACATTAGCCCACAGATAAAAAACACTACTCAGCTGTCACTTATAATATTTGTTAAATTCTTAACTGTTTCTATTTAATCTCCCATTATGTGGCTTACATGGGGCCATCAGAGCAGTTCTAATAAGGCTGACCTGGAATCATCTCATCAGTGTAAAAGAACACCTAATCGTAAATTAAATGTAGAGTATTTGTCTTAGTATTTCTCACTGTCATTATCCATGAAGATCTGTGGGGAGTACGTGAAACCACTGTCAGGGTCGAGGGGGGGTCCACAGTGAGCGTGCTCCCCTGGGAACTGCATGTTGACGATTGATCGGATGTTCAACCTGGGACAAAAGAATGAAGACAACATGAGACGCCAGTGCTGTGGTCTTAGAAACAACATTGTTAATTAAAAAAAGAATATCCAGGCTCATAGTTCCTATATCTACTCATGTTTCATGCATATCCAGACACTGCACAGACACACACAGAACAACACAAACATCAGGAATAATAAAAAATGGGATTACCTTTGAAACTGTTCTATGATGTTGTACTTCTCGATTAAATGTTTGGATGGTCGGGCCATGGCAATTATATCATCTGTCACCCTGGCAGTAAAAGGAAGTTCACAATCAGAAAATGACCATTAAGTGTTTTCGCTACATCACATAAGCAAACAACTTCCATGAGGGTGCAGTCAAATACTCTCACCAGGAGGAGAAAAGGCCTCGGATGACCTGTTGGTTTAACTTCCAGCACTCTGGTCCTTCATAGCGACAGTCTATTCCTCCACAGGCCAGCAGACAGAGGAGTCTGGGTGGGATGGCCCTCACCAGGTTCTCCCTGGCCTGGGAGTAGGAGGGCCGTGGAACCGCTATGTGCGAGGTCAAGGTCGGCATCATCCTGCACCCCAAGATCCGAACTCAGACACTGTAGATATGAATTATTATGTCAGGGCCGGGCCAACTCTTCGTCTCATATCACCCTCTTCACATGTTGATATCACTGAGTTTCTACAGTTTGAAAAAGATACAGCTCGTCAAAAAATACTGGAAAGTAATCAGTAAGAAATTGGATGATTAAAAATGTATAAATCAAATCAAAAACGTACCTTTCTGGTTACGCTGGAAGGTGAAGCTTTTAATCCCATGAATATATCATCGTGAACGGAGAAGAAGAGGAAGAAGAAGAGAGTTGAACACAGCATGTGCTCGTCTATGCTGACCCTCTCTGCTGCTGACAGATACACACTCACAAAACCATTTGCTGACCCAGCTCCTCTAATCCTGATTAGCTGTCATAAATACATTAGAACAGACATTCACACACGATCACAAGCCAATTATATAATGATCACACCTTCTCTTATAATCACTGTGTATACCCTTGATGAGCACAATGACTTTAAAAGAAGCAGTTGTTGAAAATGTAAAAATTAATTAATAAAAAAAACAATTTCTATTAATTTAATTTAAATATAATGTCTTGACTACAATGACCCAGTCCATACACTATGGGTTTGCTGCACGCGGCTGTGGACATGTCGCCCCCTGCAGTGCAGCGATGGAAACAGTAGGATAATGACAATTAAAGGAGAGAGGCGGCCACACCTACTAACCCTCTATAGGTGAGTGAAATGAGCTTCTGCCAATTCAAACACAAAACTTATTTTTTACTATTTGTTACACAAAGGAAAGTTTACTGCACTTCAGAGAGTCCAGAGTAAAATTCACAAGATCAGGATTTCTATTTAGATCATAAATGTCTCTGTGTGTGTTTTCTTATCAGGATCCACGAATTAATGAAAATGTTTAAAAACGCCGCTTCTTGCAATGTTCAAGAAAGTGAAAATTAATTTCTGATCTCCAAACTTTAATTGGATTCTCCCTCACCAATTCTGCATCCTACTGCAGGTTTCAGAGTAATCTGTACAGAACATAAACATGCTGACATGTTCTCTCTGTGCTTCGTGTGTCAGAGTCGTTCAGTATCTTCAGTAGTCAGAGCAAAGGTCACACACAGAGCAGGGGGCATTTCTGGTGTATAGGTTAACAACACACGTCAGCTTATTAAAACCAGTTAGTTCTTCTACATACATTTTTTTCTGCCTGGGGCCATTTTCATCATGAGCAAAGAAGAAGTTTAATTTGCCTCCAGCTTAAACAAAGACATCAATGATGAAAGCTGAGAGAGGAGACAGCAAAACACACAACTTCTTCTAATCAGCTAGTTCCTGGTAGAGGTTGAAAACTGTGTTTCACTGAGTTATGATGAAACATGATCTGTGAATATAGTCATCAGAAAATGTTTATATATCAAATGGGTTAAAGCTTCATGTCCTGGTGGGATGACACCTGCGTATTCTGAACAATGACTTGAGTCCAACACAACTAATATTTTCAAACTGGCTTTATTCAGAGCTTTTGTGTAAAATATTTTTAGCAAATAATTTTCAACAACAGCAGCTCCAGAATCTGCAATCATAGGTTGGAATGTATGACCCGAATACATGATGGGCAGGTAAGTGTGTTTCAAAAGATGAAGAATATAATACGGCACTTACCAAAAACCAGTACAACAAACTCAGCACTATGCACTGCCAAAACAAAGGAACACAAAAGAACATGCCACTGACATTGGCCTCATGTCAACACTGATAAGATGCTTCCTTCCTCTTTTAAGGTTAAATAAGATTCACTTTTAGAGACAATAGAGGAACTGAAATTTTTATTAGATGATTTTTCATTGTGGTTGTTAAAAAGGAAGGAGTAGACAAATTCACAAATGATCAGACATGATCAAAATCTGGTAAATGGTAAAGTCAAGTTGTGATGAAGTAATCTACAACCGACCCATTCCACCATGAACCGTAGCATAAGTGGAAGTATGCTGTTGCATTATTTTGTCTTTCAAAAGCTAAAAAAGTCACAAAGGCATTTTAGGAGGGAGCACAGATTTGTGTAGAGGGACCAGAAGGCACAATGTTCCGTTTTTGGATACATTTACAGAGAGGCCACGTGGTTCCACATCAAAATCTATCTGTGAAGTCACTGCAATCCTGCAAGTCTCATTCAGGCCTGACGATAAATGAGTTGGCATGAGATATCAAAGACCTGCGGCAGCTTAAAAGATGTCCGTCCCCAAAACTTTAAGGATATCTTGTAACCCCCCCCCCAACTAAGGCTCAAAAATGAGCATAAGTCCAATAATAATGCAAGTGGTTGATAACTGCAAAGGCTGCCTAGACAGAAGCCATAGTGTCGATTGGAAAAGCCACTTGCTATTAATTGTTTCTGATTAATTTCCCTATTCAGTCATTTGTCAATGTGTCACTGGATTAAAACTTGTTGTCATGTAAGTTTGGGAACAATTGGAGAAAAGTACAGAGTCAAACAATAATATGTTAATAGTACTGATAACAAAATAAGAAACAAGTAATAGTAAAATTTCTCAAAGATGATCATATTGTCCACCAGCCTTGTCCCTCTTTGAACATTGGTGCTGGAAGACCCAATGTTTCTGGATTGAATGTCTGTGCCTCCTCTCTCCTGTCCTGTGGTGCTCAATCTCTCTGTCCAGCCGGTCCTTCATTAGTTCTTGGAAAGTTGGATGGATAGCCAGTCAATGCCTTCATACATCCCAGTGCCCTGGGTGGCGCAGGTGGACTGAATGTGCCACTTTGGGTTCAGAGATTTGATGGTTTTAGTTTAGGGAGAACATCAACACTGCTCAGTGCACATGCTTACAGATCTGAATTTTACTGCAGGTGTAGGGCTCATGCTTCTCAACATTACTTACAGTTTTGTTACGGAGAGACTGCAGGCGAAGTCTGTCTGTGAGTTCGGTGACTGAAAGGGCGTTGGGGAGGTCCTGTTTGTTAGCAAACACCAGCAAAACTGCATCTTTCAACTCGTCCTCCTGCAACTAGAGGCAGAAAAAAGAGATTTGAGATTTCATGTTTGAATGAAAACAATAAAAAATCTCTAAAATCTCCTGTGGACATCTAGTCAACAGTTCAACCATTTTTGTTATAAATAAATCATCAATTGTGTATTGCAGTAAACTACAATTACATCGATATGGTTTGAAACATGTGCCAAAACTAGCTGTGGGTCAATGGAGCAATAATGCAAAAACAGGGTTTCTGGACACATGAATGAAATGTAAGACCTATGTCTACTATGGAGGAATATTAGAGTCTCAGATCGACGTAGACATATTTTTTAATAATTGAAGATAAGGTGAAGTAATCCAGCAGAGAATAACCATCAACAAACCACATTAACCAGCAAACTACAGGCACACACAGTGGATACCTCGAGTCTTTCCCCCAGCCAGGTCCTGCGATAAATTCTGACCAGGTGGTTGTAGGTTATTAGTTATCAATTACACTTTGGTCTTGTTTGTAGTTTTATTGCAGAATGCTAAAATACTTCTCAAAAGCATTAAGGGAACACTTCACACAGCCTGTGATTAAAACATTTTTACTTTCAGTGTGGGTTTGAATCAAGCCCTCAATGGGTTGATGTTTTTGGAGGCAGTGATCTTGTAATTAAATTGTTTTGGGAATTTTCAAAACAAGTACGACAAAACTTCAAGCACGTCAAAGATAAAATTAAATTCCCTGTAATATAATTAGAAGTAAAAATACTGACAGTCGGCAGTGTGAACAGATTGTCCATGTGCAATGTTGTCCACAGTCACAAACACTGAATCCTGGTGAAGAGAGATTTTATCTTTGCTTGATCTTTGCCTTCACCTAAAACCTATTTTGCTTTGATCAGCAAGAAGTTGACTGAATAAAGAGCTGCAGGACACAGGCTGATGTGAGGCCGTCTGAATTGTCGATGTGCTCAGACATTCATGGGTCAACCTTGCAATCCCAATATGAACAGATCCTTTTCACAATAATAAATGCCTTTATATTTCTTTAACACCTTGAGAAACATAGACAGATCTTTCACTGGAACTACATCTGTTAGTAGGTCATATTTTACCTACAAAAATAGTGTCATCCAATACAAAGCTTTCACATTCCAAGATACAAACACAGGATTTGAAGGGAAGTAACTCTGACACAAGATTAAGTTTCAGTCAACAACTGAAGACAAGAGTGTGACTCTGCTGTTGTAACGAGTGTGGGAGAGTCATTCCACAATCGAGGAGCCAGGAGGAACAAACAATAACACTATTTGTTCTAATTTAACCTCGTCACAGTATGAGACGCAGTGCACACTGATAATAAATTACCACCTCTACTGAGCTGAACATAAGAAATACATACCATCTTTGAGAGTTCTTCTGCAGACTCTTCCACTCGATCTCTGTCGTTACTGTCCACTACAAAGATGAGGCCCTGGATGGACAAAACAGTCAAGTGGTTAGACTTGTCTTTTTCTGAATTGTATAAATGAAATGAATGTACGGTTATAATAGATTATAATCGATTAAATTGATCGGTTGTTGCAGCGCTACTAATACAGGTATAAAACGTGGGCTATCCTTAAGGGTGATTGAGAATCCGGCAGAAAAAACAGAAGATGATATTTTAGAAGACTCAAAGTGTGATGTACAGTGCCATATAGTATATTTTTCCACTTGGTGGTCTTGGATCTAATCCTCTTGAATACATGTAGCACCAGAAGACTCAATGTATACCTTCTGCTTTCCCACAGCCTCAAATGGATGAAAATGTACAAATACAAACAAACTTATATAAAATGGAAGTACCAACAAAGTACAAGAATTAAAATACATACATTACTGTGATATTAAGACAGTCAGTCTCATACCTGTGTGTTCTGGAAGTAGTGTCTCCAGAGAGGTCTGATCTTATCCTGTCCACCGACGTCCCACACAGTGAAACTAACATTTTTATATTCTACTGTCTCCACATTGAAACCTGTACAGGGGAGAGAGAAGGAAGAGATCTTAATAACACACATGTACTGCTAATGTGAGATACACAAAACAAATGGTTGCTGGTATTCTCTTACCAATGGTTGGGATGGTGGTCACAATTTCACCGAGCTTCAGTTTGTACAAGATAGTTGTTTTTCCTGCAGCATCCAGCCCGACTACAGAGAAGAAACCAACATTTACCTCAGGAGAGGACGAGAGTCACAGATAACCACTTGCTCTGAATTACATAAGCTTCCTGTAGATCACCATACAGCAGAGGACGTGTAATAACAGAGGCCATGTGACTGCACGAAGCCAATCATCTGTACTGACACGTTATTATTCATTAACAAGACCAATTCATTATTATTACAGCTGATCTCGGTGCTGAGAAATAGTTCAGGTGACAATATGTCAGCCCCTTACGAACCGGAAGTAGAATTAAGAGTCAACGATGACAAATGTCCAGTTAATGTCAGGACTTAGTTACATGATGATTGTTGAATGAAGTCAGAAAGAGGCAGCACTGTAATGAGTAACTGTGTAACTTGGTAGATTAAAAACTAGCGTTAAGTGTTTCCAGATGATAATCAATGTTATTTTACTTATTCAGTTTCCAGGATAAAGTCGCCTTTAGCAGCCAAACTCCCGTTTAAAAACACCGGAAATCTAGAAACCGGAGCTTGCTTGTCAAAGTGGCTTCACTTTTTTCTCTCAAACATCAACAAATCAAAACACCCTGAAGAAGTTTCAAATTCCGCTTCTGTCCCGTTTCCTTCCTTTTTTTTTACTTAAAAACTTTGACACGCCAGCAGCCCGTCGGGACCTAGCTAACTGCCCGTCGAGCTGCGGCTAAAGCTAACGAGCGTTAGCCGCACAACGGCGCTCACTCACCCATCAGGATCCGCATCTGCTTTTTACCGAAGAGACGCTCGAAGAGGGAGGACAACGATAGGCCCATGATTGACCGGGGACAGGTGAGTGTTTGCGGGGGAAACACTGGTGAGTTCGCTTCGGCAGAAGAGACGCAGTGATGGAGGTTTCTCTCTGTTCCGGCAAATCTGATTCACCACGACTGCCACGTCCGGGCCAACGTGGAATCCACGACGTCATCACTTTGAATCAACTTTATCGACACGCAGTGAAAAACAGCGACTCTTTCTAATGCAGTTTTTTTTTAAATAAATTATTTTTACCTTTGTTTTTGTTTCTCAGCCAAATCTTCCATTCTTGTTTTTTTTTTTAATCAATAGCAAGAAACCAAGTCTTTATGTATATGGTTCATTTCATTCCATGTGCTGCAACAGACTGAGCGAGCACAGTTTGACACTAAACCACGTGGACAGAAAAGTACATCAAATAAACAAGGATTGGGTTAAAAATATCAGTGAAATAGAATAAAAACAATTAAAAGATGTGATGAGAATAAAAAGCAAGACATAAAATAATAGGAGGATTAAGTAAAATATAAATGAAATAGAATAAAACACTTAAAAGATGTTGTAATAAAGATAACATGTAAGACATAAAATAAAAGGAGGATTGGGTTAAAAATAAAAATAAAATAGAAATAAATAGAACTAAAACAAATAAAAAATGTTGCACGAAAGATAAAAAGCAAGACATAAAATAAAAGGAGGATTGGGCTAAGTGTTGTGTTAAGTGCTATTGATTTTTTATGATGAAATGCATTCAAAAATGAAATACAATCAAGATATGGCTGGAAAACACTAATATGGAACAATAATTTTACATCACTACTGATGTTTTGAACTTAATTAGAAGTTGAGCACACTCATGTCAGTCTGCCCCACACATCAGCCCCATTGAACACATGCCAGCCCACATCACCTGTGGAGTCTTTGCGGCTCCAGTGATGCACAGACAACAGAAGAACAGAAGAAAAGACACGAACATACACAACATAAACACATGCACACCACACATAAATGAATGCATTCCATATCCATGCACCGAGCTCACTGTCAGACTCTGAATTCACAGAAACGTGATCCTCATGTTGTGAAAACTGTTTTCGTCACTCGATGTTAAATGCAGGTCCGATTCCTACCACCAGATGTCCCCACATTACCAGCGTTTAGCACATTGGGTATAATCATAATGCTATGAAGGACAAAACGCGACATAACTATAAATAAATAAACAAACAAATAAACATGAAAATAAATCATCTACATTTATTTGTTTATTTTTTCATACATGTATCTATTTATCTATTTATCAATAGATTTTTCTTGTATTAATACGTGTTTATATATTTTTTTTCTATTTCTGCATTCCTTTTTCATATTTATTTCTTACATTTATTTATTTCTACACTTATTCATTCATTTCATTACAAATTTCTACCTTTATTTAATTATTTATTTTTTCATTAATTCTCTCTTTGATTAATACATGTCTACATTCATTTATTTTTATATTTCTGTATTTATTTCTACATTCATACATTTACATTTATTTATTTTTTATTTTATTATACATTTCTACATTTTGTTATATATTTGCATTCATTTTTTATTTATACTTAAGTTATTTTTACCTTTCATATAATGCATCCATACGTGGGCTGTGAATCTGGTAATCTGGTCACTTGAGTCTTAAATCAGGAGCCACTTCACTGCACTGTCATCCTATGCAGTGGAACAAGTTAGACATTATAAAGACAATCTCAGGACAGCAGATGATTAACATGTAGCCTGGCAGCGGAGCAAATTAAAGTATCTCCAGCTGTTATTTTGTCAGGAAATGTGTCCCTAACCACAAGGAGAGGGTAATTACCCAAATAGTACAGAGGGAATTTCTAACTTCCTTCTTTTCTTTCCCTTTATAGTCTGAATGTCTTGAAAGACTGTCAGTAAGACAGTGAATATTCCCACTCTGCCTGGGGACTCCCAGGTAAAAGCATTGCAGTGACACTGAACCATCGGCAGGACAAAGGCCAACACTGAGGCACAGAGCAGGTGGAGTCAAAGCAGCAGCACGTGACAGAGGTGCAGGTTTTTATACATATTTATATATATAAGTGTGCTGTGATGGGAAACATGTTCACAAAGGTTTGTTATGGAGAGAGGTGTGAATTTGGGATAAACTGATAACTGGATATTTACCATGGACATGATTGGAATACTGAGTGGAGATCAGGTAGGTGTTTCACACTTCACTTCAAATCACAAACATTCAATGAACAGCTTCTTTGCTTTAAAATGTTTTGGAGGGAAACGATTGACATCAATTTCTTAAAATTATGTTTTTTTCCAGATTGACGTTCTCACCACTGTGTATTTAGTGTTACTCACTCCCAGGTAATATGCTTCTTCACACTGTTTCACTTTCATGATCGAGTTTCATACTGGTTTTAAAGAATTGGGTCTTTTCATCTGCCAAACCTGTAACACAACAAGAGACAGGCTGGTGATTGCCTCATGAATTCCTCAACTTTCTGTTCTGTTAAAGTCACTAACATCTATTTTACTCATAGAAACTTTAAAATTCAGCAATGACTTGCAGCTCCTGTAAACTTAAAACTTGTGATGACCCTGCTGCTGCGTATTTGCTTTCTTTCTTTCTTGAAAGGAAGTAAGACATTTAGATCCATTGGTATCCCCAATGTGTCTAATTAGTTTGAGCTAAGAGGAAGGTTAAGATTCATTTTATGCAGCGTTCACATAAGTAATCTTTTACACATAAAAGTCTCATCTTCAGAAACTAACCTGTCCATTAAACAGATCCTTATTGGCTCAGGTTTAGTGTTGATTTGGTGTCAGTTTGCAAATTTCAAACTTTACACACATGGTCAAGAATCTGATTAAATGTCATGTGTGATTAACAGTTCACGTGTCTCTGATCAAATGCAGTGTGATTGGGAGTTTTTCTGTCCTGGTAGTTTCCATGGTGAGAAGGAGGCATCTAAAACAACAGGTGAGTCCAGTTTTGTGTTTTTGTGTACGTGCGTGTCTGTATTGTTGGAGTTACATGTATTTCATGGCTCGTTAAACAGTTGAAATATTTGATATATATTGTTTGACAGTCACCATTGTCCCCACTGTCAAAGGAGGTTATGTTAGTGACCCTGTCCATCTGTTTGACTATTTGTTTGAAAGAAGGATTCCGAACAAATTTCCACAAAACTTGGTGGAAAGATGGGAAATGAGAACCCATTCAACTTTTATGTGGATCTGGACAATTTCTCAGGATATATACATGGGTCTTGATTTTAAAAAATCTTGCATATCTAAGGGACAATGAGTTTCTAGCAATTTGGTGCAGTTGGCTTGAATTTAACCAGTTATTCTTTTTTCAGTGGAACAAAAGGCTACAGGCAACGTGGTGATTTCAATGTGTTTGTGTGCAGGTGCACCTCCTCGTGCAGCTCGCCCTGGCTGACCTCCTGGCTGCTCTGATCCTGATGTCCACCAGTGTCATGAACAAAGTTGGAAGCCGCAGCAATGTCACCATGTGCCAGTACAGCCTGCCACTGTCGCTGGTGAGGAACAGTCACTTTCACTCTGCTAGACTAAAGCTGTTACTCCTACAAATAAATCACAATATTTGAGAAAGGTGAAGAGAAGGAGAGAGTTGGATTGAATCGGGGGATGGAAATGGGTACTTCCCAAGGGTGAAGGTCTCAGGTTTTACTGGGTCATTTGGGACTGTGACTCAGCAGTGTCACGTCATCCCAGTAGTAAAATATTCCTTACATTGCATCAATAAAGTAAAGTTGTGAGCAGTTTTGATGTCTCAGGTTATGTAAACGTTGCTTGTTCTTCAGCACGAGTGGCAGGTGTCATGCTGTAAAATTCTAAATGCTTCTAAGAGTTCAAATCTAACAAGGGTTATAATCCCTGTAAATCTTTTGTTAATGCATTAGATTAAATCCAAAATTCAATTTTACCTCGATAAGAGTTAAGGGCAGAGTGTGTATTGATAGAACTTAAAACAAACAGAAAATAATAGAAAACAAAAACAACGTGACGCAATTTCATTCAGTTCAGGTTCTGGATTCATTCAAAAAAGCAGATATGAAAAAAAAAATCCTTTTGAAAGTTCAGCATCTGAAATAATAACAGTTTACATTTTCTGAATTGAATTGGGAATGAAGTTAGTTATTAATTAGAAGAAACAATTAAGTCACAACAATGATAAAATATATATAAAAGACGTCCTAGCACCCTGTACAAGCAGCTGTATATACATGTAGTATATTRTKTSCGTATTCATATAGAGGATATACTAAGTTGAAGCACTTTTCTGACAAACTTGAAATGGAAGCAATGGTGACTTTACAAAATTCATTTACGCTTCTATTCTTCAAATTCGACAAATAAATCAAGTTTTAATAGGTCACCACTCTGTCTAATAAAGAATGTTATTCTTGAAGGTTTTAAAACAAAATACAAGTAACAGACTGTTCTGATGAAAGCAAAGCAGCTTTTTTATGAGCAGGTCATAAACCTCAACTGAATAGTAAAAATGTCCTCACAAAGACTCATAAAGAATGTTCTCATAAAGACGGAGAGAAAACGCCAGTCACCAACTGGAGAAATTCAACATCACTGATGAACATCGCTGTTGCCACAAAGTGTGAATGACACCTCTTTAAATGGAATTTAGATTTATCAAGTAGGACTAAGAGATTTTTTAGTTAATCAACATTTGCAGCAGTTTACATTTAATTGAGCTTTTTAGCATCTAAAGGTCCAGAGTATAAGATTTAGGTGAAAGGGGTCTATTGGCAAAAGTTGAATATAAAATAAACCTAGTGATGTTTACTAGTGTGCTTCATCTAAATAGTATGAATTGAATGGGCCTTTATATTTAAATACTTTACACTTACTTCAGGAGCAGGTCCTCTCTACAGAGACGCCATGTTTTTTTTACAGTAGCCCAGACTGGACAAACTAAAACCTTTTGAGTTTTTATGACAACTGAAGGTTTCCACAGGTTCTCTCTCATGTTTGGAAGTGGAGGGTGAGGTGAGGGGTATTCAGCTGCAACATGCAACTTCACCACTAGATATCACAACATTCTACACACTGAACCTTTAACGTATGATATATATTTATGTATTTACACTATCATCATCATCATCTTTCATCTTCATGATAGGTCACATGATTTATTTGTCACATTCTGTCTCACTATATATCCTCTATGTGTTCTGTTCCAGACATTTTACTTAATTTCATTTCTGCTGGTGGTGGTTTATGCATGGAAGTCGAAGAACGCCATTCAAGGATGGAGAACAAGACCAGCAGAGGATGAGGGCGCACAGGTAAATACTAGATTGGATTATTAGTGGATTATGGTTTGTCCAAATGTCTCATGATGGATTACATCATATCTTTCTTTTACATGCAGTCTGTCAAATTCAGGGGTTAGGGTTGATTCGAGGGGTCTTTTATTGACTTTTAAAGCTCAACATAGTCGGGACTGAGACGATTAGACTGCCCAGCACTTTACCTGTTTTTAAATCATTGCTTAAACATATTTTCATAGGAAAAACTTTAATGCCTGATTTGAACAGGTTTTTATATTTTCTTTTATGTTATCTTTTTCTTATTTCAGTTTTGACTCATTTTGATCAGTGTTGTTTTATTTCTGTATAGTTTGTAGTTTTTGTGCTATAGAAATAAAGTTTTATTATCATTTTATCATCATTTTTCTCTCACCTTCTGTCTTGGCTTACAGAGTCAGTGTAGAAGAAAAGTAGCTGTGCCTGTATATGTCATAGTGTGGTGAGTTCTGGAACTTGAAACTATACCTTTCCAAAATAAAGATGTCATCCGTGGTGAACTGAAATTAATTCTGTCTCTTTCTCTCCAATATCACAGGATGGTTCCTATATTAATGTACCTAGCATATGCACTCACTTCCTTCATAACCACAGCTTTGCTGATTCCAAACAACAACAAGTCACAGGTCGCCCGTAATGAAAGCAATTACTGCAGCAGGTGAGCGCACAACCTTGAATGAACTTCTTCCAAAGATGTTACAGACGTGAAATATTCTTTTCTCCTGTGTTTTTCACTCTTTTGATTTTCCATTTTCCCTCAGTTGTATTTTGTTCTTGCACGTCTGGGGAGATTCCTGCTCAGATCCCGTGAGTATGAAACTCTCACATTATGCACCTGCTGTCTGCTCTCTTTTACACATTCATTTGATCTATTCTATGAATGTTTCCTTCAGTTGTGGTTGCATATTGTATTGTCTATATAAGAAGGTTCCTTTTTCTTAACAGGAAGTAATCCATGATAACTTCATCAAAATGTTTCTGTTCCTTGTGGTGATACCAGTGATGCTGTCTTGCTCTGTAAGTCATAAACAACTGCACAATTTAAAGAGGACTTTTTTAAATGTACAGTGTTATAGTTACACTGAACATGGTTTATGATTTTCACAATGCTATTGAAAGGCTTGTTTAGTATATTTATTTTATACTATATATTATGTGAGCAAAATGTAATCTTTTTTCTTCTTATTTCAGGTGATTTATTATAAGGTTGGTAAATGGTATGAAAGACATCAGCATCAGGGTCTTTTTCCAGTGGAAGGAGACGGACGTTCAAGAAGGCGATTTAAAACAGTGTTTTCCACAGCAAGAAATATGGTGATGGTCATCTTATTTTGTTGGGCACCAGGTACACACACACACACACACACACACACACACANACACACACACACACACACACACACACACACACACACACACATTTAAAGATCATGTAATTCATCTTATTGACTTTAACTCAACATCAGCTGGATCTTCTATGTTGCAGCTCTTGTCCTCATTCTGTTTTCCACCTTGATGAAATGGACAAGTATTGAACAGCGGAGTCTATTTGGACTTTATATGATACAGGTATAAGATTTCACCCAATGAGAGAAAATACGAATGTTATCTGATGTTTGAGTTCCAAGTAGTTATTATTTTGTCTATTTCAGGCTGCTGGTGTGTCCCTGCAAGGTTTCCTGAACAGTATGGTTTACGCCTGGAGACGACCAAACTTCACGGAGGCCGTTCTCGGGGAGAACACCCCCCTGGTGGCACACAGCCGCCTGGCTTTCTTTGATGAATCACTGAATGGCTCATCAAATTGCTGGAACAACCATCAGTCTGAGGACAACTGATTGAACACTTCAAGACAACTAAAGACATGAAACAAACATGAAATGGACTCAGGAGGAAAAGAAAAGAAAGAAGCATAAAGACTGAAACACCTGAATTCGTCATGTAATAAAGTCATAGCAGCGCAAATCGCACTTTTTTGTATAAATGGGAACATGGGAGATGTGTTGTATTTATATGAACTGTTTTATGTAAGATTTTTAAAAGATGCTCTGGAGAGTTGTGGGCTTAATGTGATGTGTGTTTAGTTTTATTAAATGTATTTGTATTGTGTCTTGACGTGTTTTTAACCAGTTGTTTAATTGCTGACTTGTTATTTAACTGCCGCTCAGAGCTCTGCACGGTTTAAGATAAGAAGGATGGACAAACTTTGAGGGTTGCAAAATCTGCAGTCACATTTCTGTAATTTCAGGCGCACATGTCACCAATGATAAGGCAGAGTTCAGCCTCAGGAGCAAACATGTGCTGGAGCAGTGAGCAATGCTGAGTGAACACTGTGTCTGGTTTGTTGTGTCTGTGCACAAACATAACTTATCTCATAAAAAATAATGTGTGGGTTGTGCAACTGAGTTCTTATGCAAAGACATTTCTAACATATCGTCACACATAAACACATGCACACAAACACCATGACCAGGCATGTGTGAATTTCCTTTGGGTTTATCTCTCTGTTAATGTTTGAAAAAAAAGCTGCTATAGGTTAGTGTGCAGTCCCTCATTTCTGTCCTGTATTGTAAAGTAAACTTGATGTTCTGTAGTAACTCTGCACAGTTCAGTCACCGGCCACATAGACACATATAAAGGTTTGATGCGCGTAATAAAACAAAACAGTCACCACCTGTTCCTTAGTGTCTTTCCAAAAATGTTCGTTTCCTGCTTTATCTTGAAATTACTGTTGTGACTTTACTTCCTGTCTCCTCAGTTTCTCATTTGCTCATTAATCGATAAAGCCTCATAAAGCCTCATGTTTCAACTCTTGAGTGAATAACAGCATGTGAGACAAGTTCTTCTTGTCTTTGTTCCCCGTGTTTTACCTGATTTATCCATGTTTGCATATTTGACTGTTTCATTGGATTGGAGTTTTTTTTTGTCTGATCCCTCCTGAACTTGTTTTGCTGTTTGCGCTCCACTCCTCCTGTGTTCCAGCTGATGAGAACAATTATTTCAAATCTATGCTTCTGGCTGCACCCAATCACTTTATTTAGTTTTGAGATTCATAATTTGATGTGCCTGAAATATGTGGCATATTCATAGACAAAGAATACTGTGCCGCACAGTGATCCTGAAAGTCCCAGGGAAGATCTGATCTAAAAAAAATTTATTCCTTCTACTAATACGTCACTTTAAGAAAGCATTTGTTGAGCCGAGTGCAAGTTATTATAACAGTATTAACTAGTTGATAGTCATATTGTTATTGGTCAACCAGATCAAACCTTTTACAGTTTGTCACTACATTTCAAACCTTGAGCTGAGCCCGCCCTGTAGCAGTAGACTGCATGTTCATGTGTTTGCGAGTACGCATACCTTTAATTATCTGCCCGGGGAATTTTCTGAATATAACGGATGAAGCCTGCAGGCTCGCTGGATAAACCACGAGGCTGTGGCCTGGAAACGACTCTGGATTTCTAGATGTGCTTGTGTCCTCCAGTTCCTGGGTTATATAAGTCGTTTGGCACAAAGATCACAAAGCTGAGTGAGGAATAAAGTATGTTATACACACATCTGGGAAATTTTATGTGACTCTTCCCGGTTTTCTAATTTCAGGTTCTTTTTCTGATCTTCACAGACGTCATCAGTGGGATACAACTTATTAATAACGCTCATTAACCAGACTCTAGGTCAACCCTTGTGCTCATCGGGTATTATTTCTGTTTACATTTTATTCTTTGCTAAATATTGGTTTTGCTCATCAACAGTAACCTATGATCTAAAGTTTGTCAGGTCCTCTACATTAAAAAGGTTGACATCTGGTAAACCATCAGTTATTCAGTCTGTCTACAGTCGAAAAAGAAAGAAAGAAAACACAGACTATAGTGTTTGGTAAGGATCAGTGTGCCAGTGTTAGGTGTTACTATTATATAACACAATGAGTTCACCAGATGACAGAAGTGATTCCACCAGTCCTACCTTCTTGACACACCTATTCAAAGACTCCTGAACACACACTTCTCAAGACGCACACACACGACATGTTGATATTTATTCTTATCTTTAACACACACGGTAATAAGAGACTAAACAAAAAACAGAGGGGTGATTTTTTTTTGTTTTGTTCATAAGGTAATCATGTTTCCTCATCCTGTTAGAACATAAACATTTAAAACATACTTCAACAAAATCGACTGGCTTTACAGTAAAATGCAACCAGTTAAACAATAAACAGCATTATGATCTGTTGAATGTAAGAGTCTCTTCCTCGCTCCTGTTATTGTATGAGTTCTCCCAGATTGTGGCACTGATTTGAAAAAGGTTTTTTTTTTTTTTGCTATACTGACCTCGTCTTTTCAGAAGTCCATGGACAAGGATCTTTGCTGAGCCATTTCATAGTTCCCTCTCCGGCTTCCTGCTCTGTGCACATACACATCGTACCTCCCGTCCTCCTCGTCCTCTTCATCCTCCTCCATCACTCTGTCCTGTCGATCCAGCTCTCGATCCCCGATGCTGTGATGGCCCTGCGTCCGGCCTGGTTTCATACTAGGCCAGCTCTTCTTACGCAGACTGCTGTTCAAGTCCCTGAGAGGAGGTAAGGTGCTCTGAAAGTCACCTCTGAAAGGGGGGAGCTCCAGAGATCCCCTGGCCAGGCCATGTGGGCCCTGACTGGCTTTGATGGAGTTGACAGAGGCCTGAGAGCCACAGTGGTGTTCGTGTATGCAGCGGGAGCCTGAGGAGGATCTCCTGAGCGCCTGTAAGGACTGGAGCTCGTCAGATAACTCCCCAAGGTCCCCAGACATTTCCTGAAAACATTAACATCACATTTTCAGTTTTTAAAGAACATATTAATAAAACAACAATCCATCAACTTAATGAAACTAACCTTGTCTCTGAGTGTAAAGAGTTCATAATGGGGAGGGTCAAACACTTCCTGGAAGTCGCCGCGGTGAAAAAGGTTATTCTTACGTACCAACACCTTTAAAGTATAATTAAACACACTTAGTACATTAGATAAGTCAACACCAACATTTTGTGGCATGATCATGACTCACTTACCTTTTTTCGTGGCTGTTTGACTTGCACCAAGATGGAGATGATAAGTAACAGCAGCACCACTCCAGTAGACACACAGATTACTGTCCCATGGGTCTTTGTGATCTGGTGAAAAAGACCTTTGCTCTTTTTCTCTGGATAATGGAGATGAAGAGAGGGATGAAGAGAGTGATAACACATGAAAGCTATTCAGAGGCACTGAGAGAGTACATCACTCATTTACTCGTTGCCCTCCCTGCAGGACCGTCTGTATCTTTGGCTGCCAGAAACAATGCAGAGGCTTCACAACACAACACAATTTTAAAGGAAGAACTATGGGACCTCAGTGGAGCAAATGGCTCCACCAAGGCCGAGCTGTTCCCCTATCAAACCACATTGAAATTCAATAGATGCAGATTTGTATTAGGGTTTCACACAGACCTAAATATCAGTCCCTTGAAAATCTCATCTTTGAGAAACCAAGGAAAATGTTATTTTTTAATAAACAACATTTAATGGGTTCTTCCCTGACCTATACCAAATCTTCCTTCTGCCAAGTTTTGTCGAAATCCATTTAATTATTTTTTGTTATCTTGTTACAAACAAACAAACAAGGTGATGGGTGGAAAAATGCTTTTGCAAAACAGGATTACCTTTGCAGTTGCCTTCATCCCAGGGAAAGACACAGTTTTGTATGCCGTTGCACACCAGAGAAGTGTTGATACACATGTTACTGTGGCAAAAGAACGCACTGCCCGCACAGGGAGCTGTAACACAAACAACAGTGTGTGATGCAAAATTGCAGACAAAGCAACAAAGACATTAATGGTGAGAGGATATCCATCTATTTCTTGTAGTTTTTGGCCAGATTCAAATCTGGGATTCAATTTTATTAAGTGCTTATTGAAATACAGACTGTGAAAACCATAATTTTGTTATATTCTAATATATGGTCATCTACAACTTCTGTTTTATTATTAGAAATCTGCATTATTGAATAGGAACCCCAAGAGAGTGCTGTTACAAATCTGCTCTCATGCATCCAAACCACATTTACATTTTTAAAAGGACAGAGATGAAAAATTAGTTGAACTCACGGTCAGCAAAAGAAGTGAAGAGCATCCGGAACCGGCTGAGACGACTCGTTTCATCAGCCCACATCCTCACCACTCCCACACCAGTGTCCAGCATGACGTCATTGGCCACTGTGCTGCAGAACTTAGCCTGAAACAAACCACACATGTTCTCTCATAGATGTGTTGTCCCATTGTGGCCAAGGTCTGAAGAACAGTTGCTACATAGAGAAAAACTCAGATGAATAATACCTTTAGGTCCTCAATGGCATTGCTGCCGTCATACACAGCCACAAAGTTCTTCTTGCATTCGTTTGAGTTTTCCATCTGGTATTCCAAGAATCGTAAGTAAATCTGGAACAAGCAATGAGAAGAATCTGTTGTTCTTTTTCATTTTGGTGCAGATGTGAATTTAGGAGCATATCCTTACTTTAACTATGTCTTATATTATATTTCTATGATTATAAGTAGAGAATTATATGTAGGATTGTTCGACCTTGGTGGAGGTATCCAATTTACTAAGAGCCATTCTAGTTTGTGCTTGAAAACTTTAACAAATACTCAAAATAGTCACTGATTCATTTACTTGTCAAGCATCTAAAGAATAATCAACAATATTTTACACTAAACCCTACCCTGTTGTTTGTTGGGGCTCTTATGGTCCAGATGCAGTCCACTGCCTGGTCTGGCTTCACTTTGTACTCCTCATCCACCTGACTGGAACGGATCAGGCCGTCAGCACCTGACAGCTCAAACTGACAATCTGAAGAATAACAAAGGAGGCAGAGAAAGTGGAAAATAGAAAAAGCAAATTAAGGGTGTTGTTTGAGGGGAAACTCTTTGAAAAAAGAAACTGAGAGTATTCAAGTGTGGTGACACTACCTGGAATAGGGTTTAAAAGTCCTCCCACATGCAGATGAAATTCAGGGTCTTTGGGGGGGGGTCACAGAGAGAAACCACAAAATGTGGGTCATCATCAGTTAGAATGCAAGTCTTTGATTGGTCAGTAACAGTAGAGACATCTGATTAAAACATTATTCCAGCAGATCAGGTGAACGTTTGGTGAGCATCAGGATGGTGCAGACAGAACATTGCCATCGATAAACCATCCCCCTGTGTTTTTGATTCACCTGCAGTAAAGGTGTACTGGACCATGAAGCCAATCCCCTCCAGCTCTTCATCACTGTAGAAGCGGATCCACATAAAGCGCCCGCTGGAGAGGACGAGTCCGGGACTGGCAGAGCCGCAGAAACGATTGATGAGTGGCGAGAAGCTGAAGGGACCGTCCCTCACCTCGATGTGGTCAAAACGACACTCGAATGAAGCCTCGATGTAGAAGGAGTCATCAAACAGGAGCTCTATTCTCTCACGGGGCAGGGCTGAGGGAAGAATGGTGGTGTGTCACTTCTACTGCCACAGAGGTCATTCAGGAATATACCAACAAAGAACAGTAAAAAAAAAAACATCAGACATTCTTGTATTACTGATTTTTAGATCATACTTTTGTGAGCTTTGTTTGATGGGCTCCTGTTGCAGTTATGAAGAAAGTGATGCACAATATGACACCAAAGTTTGATATAAACTTGGATGTAAGATAATGAGGAATGCGCTGTCGGAGAATGACGGCTTGTTTGTACTTAAACAACCACAGAGGGAAAACGTGCATTGCAAAATAATACACTTGTCAGAAATTGGCTTTGTTCTAAAGACAGATACAACATCCTTATAATATAATCCAAAAATAATATGGGAACATTGCTGATGCCATTGTGGAAGGATGGAGCAACAGCGGATAGTTTTATTGGTTATTTCCAAACCAGACTCATGAAACAGTGTTGACGCTGATGTTTTCTCTTCATCAGATTCTCTTTAACAACCACCAGAGCTCACAAAAGAATCTGAGCTGGCGTCAAACTCTGCAACATTCCCCCCAAAATGTATGATACTGGAAAGAAAACTGCAGCAGTGACTCAGGCTCCTAGTGTTTGTTACCTTCCAGCACATAAAGGCACTCCTTGTTGGGAGGGTACGTATTCGGGTAGTTGGGGGAGCTGAAGGAGCCACCTTCTGTGTTCCGGACCCAGGTTCCACAGTGACGAGAGCGCTGCGGCCTTTGAGAGGGTTTGACTGCTTTTGATCCAGCACCCCCATCTGCATGTGAAATGACATCCAGATGTCACATTGTGACAGTGAAACAAAGGACGAATGGTGCCACATCAAGACGATCAACAACTAAGATGTATCTGTGTATCTACGAGTGAAAAAACTTTACTAATCTACAATTAAATGTGTTGATGTAATGGTCCCACCTTTACTCTTCTGTGCCAGAGCAAATCCCTCCTCAATGAACAGGAGAAATATCCAAACTGTAAAAGAAACCAGAATATATGGGGGGGTACGATCAAGGAATTGAGGGAAGAGGGAGAGAGAGCATAGCAGGACGTGTGCGTCTTTACTTGTTCTCTCCTCTGAATATCTCCATGTATACAACAGGCCAGTGGCGTAAAGTTCAGAAACACAGAGAGAATAATGACCTGCTGCTTCCACCATCTGCTCCAGTAACTCTTGCTCCTATCTCTGCAGCCCACTTTTTCTTTTTAGTTTTTTTTTTAGAGGTTTATACATGTATCACTGTGTACAGCAACCTGCTGACTGCCATGGTGCTGCAAGGACGTCTAATGACAAATTTAATTTGTTTGATGAACTCATATCATTACATAAAATATGACCTAAATAGAGCATCCAGCCCGAGGGCAGCACGCCACTGAAATTTGCTTTGAGATTTCTCCAAAGTGGCAAGTTGACATGTTGGCATTTTGCTGTGTTGCTGTAAACGTCTAATGACAAACTGCCGAGCATGGAACAGCAGCTGTAATGGATGTGGTAATTTGCAGTTAAAGCATCTGCACTCCATTAATATGTGACAGCTGATGATCTAAGAAAAGACCAGTTTAAAACATTTAAGACTCATATGGGTCTCTTAATGATTTAGTCCATGTTGCCACATCTTACGTTGAAGGTGTTTTAAAAGAATCCTCTTTTCCTACTAATGTTAATAATATAATGACTGACCTTGAGAAAACTTCAAATGAGAATCTGCACTAATCAACCAATGACTAGCAGAGAAGTGTGTAATGACTTTTACATGTACATACAAATATACATATACTGTGGCAATGTAAAGAAGCACATACATCATGGAAAAACTAGGGTTTTTTGTTGAATTAATTTCTCTCCACAGAATGTTTATAGAGAGCATGATATCCTTCTGTATGTTTGTGTGTGTGTGAGGAGGAGGAGGAGGAACTGAGGCAGAAGCCGCCTAAATCCTCCTCCTGTCCAGACACTGGCTCAGTGTATGCACGTGCAGGGGGGGCGGAATATTCTCTCCTTTGCTTAAAAAGGAGATTCTTTTATTTTGTGTCCTCTTTTGCACCACAATAATAACTATGATGATAGATACATGCAAAATATTATACATAGGTCAGAAGTCATTATATAGGCTACATATATATGATATAGCATCGGGAGCTGTCACTGCAGCGCCATGAATGATTACACCAGAGAAAACTGTCAAAACAAGAGATTCATTTGGATTTTACCAAAGTTTAAAAAAAGGTCTTAGCAGAGTTGATGTGTGCTCATATTTCAGGACAGTTGAATGAATCACTGATTCATGTGCATACAGTTTTGTTTCCCTAAATTATCCTTTTATTTTTAATATCATTATTCTTCAACCAGGTTAGTGCCATTGAAGTCAAAGACATCTTTCACAAGAGAGACAGAAACAGAAGCAACACAGTTTCAACAGTGAAAGTAACTGAGAGCCAACACATTAAAGATTAATCACATTAAAACACTTGCACACATCATGGACTCAAGAGTTTTAAACTCCTCATCATCTATGTCTGCATTTTTGTGCAGTTGAAAGAGTTTAAGAACAACGTAGGTCAGGAGTCATTTCGAAGAAAGATGACCACAGATTAGACTCTATCTCCCCCTCAGGTTGCATCAGTAATTCCTCCTCGGACACAGATCAGAGAAGACAGTTTCACTAAACGTCCTGAATCATGCAAACATGAATAATGTCACTCACCTACAGTCATCCTCTCAGATGAAGTCTGTTCTCTGGCTTTGGATTTCAAACTTCAACAGCTCTGTGTCCCTCACATCCCCCTGCTCCTCTGACTTGATGGTCTGGATTAACGCATGTTAAAGAACCCTGGTTAGATTCACAAAACCCAACTTTCACCTCTTCACCCTATTCCCATTGGTCAAGATGAGAGAGGCATCTGGTGCGAAAAAGTAAAAAGATCTGATGAAATTCTGATTTATCATCGGACTTCCCTCACAGAGAAAAATAAACAGTGAGATGTTCCTGCAGAGCTCAGGGGCGGATCAGCCCGACTGTTCTCTGTCACAACAGATGATCTGTCTGCGGCTGCTCTGGTTTTAAGATTGGGCTCAGTTGGCGCGAGAAGGGGGGGGGGGGCTGATTGCGCATGTGCACAATCATATATGAGTAATAAATGATATGATAATCCACACACAGTCTGTTTGGCTAATGCTGATTTACATTTGGAAACCTTTTGAATTTAATTAGCTGACACACACACACACACACACACACACACCACACACACACTGTGCTCACACACACACACACACTCACTGTGCACACACACACACCACACACACACAGTCTGTTTGGCTAATGCTGATTTACATTTGGAAACCTTTTGAATTTAATTAGCTGACACACACACACACACACACACACACACACACACACACACACACANCACACACACACACACACACACACACACAGGGCAACTGTGCCAAGAAGCTCAGTGGGTATAAATCAGACACAGATTGCATTCCTTTGCAGTTCTGTGCTGTACAGAGAGCAGAGCACATCCGCTGAGGTCTTTTCTCATTTTTCAGGGCACACAGTGACTGTGACACTTTTTTAAAAAGCGTCTGGAGCTGCTGAGCGATGAAAATGGAAGCCAAGAGTTACTATTTCTTTGATTTGTTATCTTTTGAAAACACAACAACTGAACTGACTCATATTCAGAAAATATCTAAGAATTAACATGAGTTGAGATGAACCACCATAAACAGTCAGAGCAAAAAAACCTTTGCGTAACGAATCAGTGATTTATTACTTTTGTATTTGAAAGACTGTGTTATCAATTATTTCAGAAGTCACATTGCTTTAAATAAAGGCACAAAAGTACTTTCAGCAAAACATATTTAAATGAAAAGTATTTTCCATACAGTAGAATGACCCCAGTATTGCTGACTTATAAAAGATGTGATGAGATAGCTTCTGACCAAGTTATTTTTTTATGATTATACTTTTTTTTTTCTTCCGTGCTTCTTTGAATTTCTCTCATAAATTTTTTTTAGGTGACGCAGAAGAAAAAACAACCAAACTTCACAAACGACCAGGAAACCAAAACAGCACAGCCTATCACGCCATATTTTCAAAGTCCCCAGGGTGATTATTATTCAGTGAGGTGGCATCAATTTTTCTTCTGCAGCAACAACCTGGGGGTAAATTTATTCAGCACACACACAATATATGCACCATCGTAAGGTTGCATCATCTGGGCCTGTGTTTTAAAAATGACACACTCCCTTGTGATTGATTATAAAGTGAAAGTGCTGCCTCATATATACATGCATCTTTTATTTTTCCAGCGAGTGTTTGATTTTGGGAGGATCGCAGCGACTGTGCCTCATCCTGAACCGAGTGACATTCCAACTACAGCGAGAAAGTGCAAGTGACTGGTCATCAACAAGCCTCTACTCTAACCAGGTATTAAAATCTGCATCTGTTGCCATGGCGACCAGGCTGCTGTCTCGTCTGCTTCGTCTGAGGCTCACAGGAAGCAGAGGTTTTACAGAAGTTTGAAAAATACGTAAATTAAAAGAGGAACAAAAGACTAAAATCTCCCTCGACTGTCTGTACCTGTGCTGCTGCTGCTACTGAAGAGAAGGCTTTGTAGTTATAAAGCCAACAGAGACTAATGTTAGAAAACCTTTTGTAAAACCCAGACGTCCTTGAATCTTTAATGCTATCTTTCTTTAATGTGTCACATCCTGCAGCCCGGTTATTTCTCTGAATAAAATGTTAAGTAAAATCACTTTTCACTTCTCTCTATCTCTATGAAAGATCTATTTAACAAGCTCATGAAAAGGAGTCTTCTATGATATGAATGCAAGGCTCAAAATGTGGACAAACTCAGTCTGCTGAGGAACATCATGTAAAACAGTTAAAAGGTTAAAAGGTGGACTCTTTTGGTGGTTGGAGGGTGAAAGTCAAGGTCACAGTGATTTAATTTTCTGGTGAACATTATATATAATATTGAGTCTGCCTTTTGGGAATTCTTTCTATTTTGACCAGTTGTCACTTGGACTCGGAGATGAACTGATTATATTTCAGGTGAAAGGTCTCAGTGCCCTCATATGAGTCTGGAAAAAGGTCTGGAGATTGAAACCGCCCTGTTTGGCGGAGGCATACAACCACAGGGTGGTAACTCTAGTTCTGTGTGCTCTATGACACTTTGGAGCAATATTAAATAACGTAGGTGACTGATATGATTGCACCATCTTGAAGCTCATAACAAAGAAAAACTGCACAGTAAAACATCTCAACGCCCTCATCACCTCAATCTCTAAAGCACCAGCGTCGGTCCAGCAGCTGTAAATAAGACTCAAGCACTACACGTGAGAAAAGAGCTCAGCGGTAACGTGACGATAATCACATCAAGACATCTTTTTTGTGATGTCACAACCTTTTTTTGGTGAAAGGATGTGCAACCACTATGGTGAAGGCAGAGACAGCAGAGAATATCTGATGGAGCATAATGAATCCTGAAATTTTCATTTGCAGGGCCAGGATTGTAATTAGCATTTTGATTGGAGTCTTAACCAGGCAAGTGATTGCTCTTATTAGTGTGTGCTTAAGGATGAAATTAACATCTTTAATTTGGCTTAGTCTACAGTTGAGTGAGCCAGGTGATATTGCTGGCTGAGGCGTTCGGTCCCCTACATTCTTTCCTTTTGTTTTTCCTTACTGTGCAAGAACACGTGTATGTACCGTCTGCACAAGTTCATGTATATGTGCATCTCATATTTGAAAGGATTTTGTCTGAAAAGAGCTTTTAAGGAAAGGGTTCATCTCTGAGGTCAGGGATTACACAGCGGGACATTTAATGCAGTTGCAGCGTAACAATATGGTGGAGGTCTCGGGAGCTCTCCGACTAAATCCAAGAACACATCTAGACGCTATCTGAACTCATTTTGAATCTGTGCCACTGTTGCTCGATCTGCTCGCTAACAAAGCAACAGATTGACGAATTTAGAAAAGAAAATCACTTTTATCAGCTTCAGAGGAAAAGTCATTAAGATGCCACCACGAGCCTGTGACTGGCAGGAAATCCCTGTGGATTTGGCCTATTACTGTTGATGAGGAAGCACAGTAGCCTACAAGTCCCGACTTTAACAGGGTGGAACAGATTACTGTGTCCCAGTGACTTCTCATTTATCATCACATTGATTTGTGTTTCATTTACTCCCCTCACAGAATCATTTACTGTTACAACTGTAGATCATGTCACAATTAGTCGCCCTCGTGCACAGTCTACTGTTTAAATCCTTGCATTCAGCTGGAGACCTAAAATCACTTGGTGATGACAAATACATATTCTCAAACAGAGTTTTCTTTTCTTTTCTTTAAAGCTGTTTATCACAAACTTTATCTACACATATATTTTACTTGAAATTTAATCATTCACATGGAGCTGATGTTCAAAGCCAGAATGCCCCCGGGAGACCCCACCACCGAGAGTAAACATAAATATCCTCTTCCCAGACAGATTTAGAAATACTGTATGTGATACTATGAAGCAGGAGTCTTATCTCTGGCCCATATGACAACAGATTAGACCAAGACAGAAGAAAGGAAATTTAAAAGAATGACCTAAATTGACAAAACCAGTTCTGGTTGATGAAATTGTCGTTAGATATTTGCGATGTAGGTTTCAAATTTACTGTCAATCCTGTCGTCACATTATTTATCTCTCTGTTATAATCTAGATAATCTGCTCATTCACAGCTCCAACACAGAGCGACATCTTTTCTGTCTCAATACAAATTCACATATGGTTTGTTGTGTGAGATGTCGAGCAGGACTTACACGAACACACACAACCCCCCCCAGCACACACACAGTTGCCACTAATCTACCATTTGCAAACATGCAACAAGATACAAATTTATTTACACTCTTATTTCATCCTCTAGTCTTTTGCTCCATATGAGATCAGAACCTAAACTGCATCCAAGTGTAAATTAATATTTTGAGCAGAAATGATTTTGTTATTCAGGATGCATCATCTGGGAATTTGTTCCTTGAGGCATCTTTCTCATTTCAGTGATCCGACATGGAATAAAGAAAAACTGTGACCAAAGCATATTTGGCAAAGCACCCTGTGGGCGAGGAGAACAGATGTGTAGGTTGTTGATGAACTGATTTTAGGTTGTACTATTTACTGGAAAATCCTGTTTACCTCAGCCAATTTAAATATGCAAGACTTTCTAATTATCTGATAATATAACAAATGATGTCAGACTATACAATTCCATCCACTTCTGTGATTATTCTGTTTTAATTTTGGGGCATTTTGCCTTCATTGACATGACAGTAAGTGTGATGGGGGAGAGAGCGGACAAAAACACGTACTGAAGGGCTGGGTCGGAATTAAACCTGTGACCACGGCAGGAGGGTTCAAGCCTGCATATTCACATCCTGTAATCAATTCAACAATACAAACTTGTCAAAATATTACTTCAGAAAGTAATATTATTTTCAAATTCTAATAAAGTACATAGAGCTGGGCACATCAACAAATAGTATGTAAACACACTGGATGACAGCTGGGATGGAGAGCTCTACATTTTTTTGAACATATTTAAAATGAGGAATATCCGACTCCCTCGTGTTTTGCAGCAATCAAAGTCAAATGAAAGCAAAAAATCTGTAACATTTAAAGGTCACTTCCCCTTTTCCTCGGGTGTTGGACTGTGTCTGTCAAAATGAGACGGAGGAAAGATTAAATGATCCCAGAGTCTGCATCTGTGACCCATACGTGCACTCGCACACGTGCACACACAACATCACTAAGATGGATCTGCCACGAGAAGATGATGTTGTGTCTCTCCCAACAGATAACACCATCGTCTTCATGTCCACTTGAAAATCTTCATTCCATTTAAACTCTTTCTAAATTTCGCTCTTTTACAACATATGGCCAATCACAAGGACCAGTCTTGGACAGATGGCCAATGGTGATGACCCTTACACAAAGTAGAGTTAAGCCAAGGAAGACAACGAGAAGATTAGTCTGCTTCCCACCAATTAGGGCGCTCAGAAAGAGAATAACATGTTCAGAGAAGGACGTGGAAAACAAGAGGAGCGAGTGATTCATGTCCCGTTCAACTTAGGTCGCTCTGGTCTCAACCTTCAGCTTCTCATCTGCCCTATTATAAAATGATATATAGACGGATATGTGCAATTCTAAATATGATTTAAATTGGTTGATTACGATATTCATGGTAAAATGTTATTCTGACATCAGCATGAAACCACTGTTAAAGAAACCCACTGGACTAATGCTCTCATGTTACTAAGTTTTATCAGATATTCCAGCCATGTTCGACCCACAAACACAGCAGACGAGTAAAGCAGCGACAAGCTTTGCTCCAGCAGCAACAGAAATCTTCTTAGTGCAGCCTCATCTGTGGATGTGGCAGCAAGCCTGGACGAGGTTGAGTCCAACGCTTTGGGTCCTCAAAGATTTTATTCATGTTTGGATCATTTTGATCAAGTTAGAATTTAGAAATTATGTTTTTTTTCATTTAAATGTGTCTAGTAACAAACAAAAACGATATGGAAAGGAAGCAGCTGCATGGATAAACAAATAGTATTTCACTGAAAACCATTTTATTCTTGTCTAATAATTATTTTTTATGTGCATCTGCTGTAAATAACAACAATGTGGTGACACCACTCAACATTCAGTGGTGATTCCAGTCATGCGTCACTCTCTGACTATTTGTTGTTCCTAAAATGCGCTGAACTCCAGCGCTTTAGGGAAAATTACATCGTGCGTGCAGCTGGGTGTTAACACACTCTTTTTCCCTCCCCACTTTTTAATTTAGTCAAATATATAAAGCCGGTCTTTGCAATCAAGGCCTAAGCACATGTGGGAAGGGGCTTTAGAGAAATAATTAAAATAGGCCCGAGTGAGAGAGGGCAGCTTTGGGTACAAAGTGATAGAAAGTGAGAGTCTGATACGAGGTTTTTCTGAACACCACAGATTGAAAGAGGGTGATAAAAGAACAGCGAGAGGAGAAAAGAGGGCAAAGGTGAGGAAAGGTTTTGTCGGGTTTTCACAAGATTAGCAGGGATTTTCGAGCAAAGGGCACAGGATTAGAAACCATCAGAGCTTCTCTGTGTCCTCACAATTAAAAAATACATTTCAAGGCATCAACTATGATGGTCTGACACATCTTGAAGAATGGGAGTAAAAACTCCTAAGTGATGATTATTAAAAGGAAGTGTAGCATTAGTGGTAAGAGACTCAACATACACATTTGTGAGTAAGATGCAAAAAATACTTAAGCGGAATAGTTCATTTAAAAAAAAGATAGTTCAACTTTTATTTAAAAGTGAACTCAAGACAACAGGGTGAGAGATGTGACTTTGGATGATAAGATGCAACACAGTTTTAATTGCAAACCACGCTGCTGCAACGCTGATTAATTCCAACATCGACAAATTGTTCTCACCCACTGTGTGTGTGTGTGTGTGTGTGTGTGTGTGTGTGTGTGTGTGTGTNTGTGTGTGTGTGTGTGTGTGTGTGTGTGTGTGTGTGTGTGTGTGTGTGTGTGTGTGTGTGTGTGCTGACACATTTCTAGAAGGCAGACATCAGTGAGGATAGTGAAAAGACAGACATTTGAAAACCATAGTTATTGTATTATACACCAATATACTGTATATATATATGTAAAATCTAAAAACAGGGTGGGGATGTGAAAGACAGCTGGATGTAGCTAGATATCAGCGGTGGAGAGTAATAAAGTACTTCTTATAAGAATAAGAATAACAATTCTCACTTCAGCACAATATAGCCTTCATTATACTCTACTAGATTTAAGGGGCATATTTGTGATTTGTTTTGACGGCTAATGTATTGTGTATCAAGTGTCAGGAGCAAAAATCTAGAAGAACATAATGTGACATTTATTGTGATTATTATCAATTATGATTTGTTTTTATCTTGAACTGGGCTGCGTTCAATTTGGTTTGGTTTTAACTGAAGATGTTTAAGGTCACCTAATGTATTGGCTTTACTTTTCTTCATCTATTTTTTGTTTCGCATTTCGCTGTTTGTCCGCTAGGTGGCGATGAAGACTCAGTCGGCCCATGTGGTGACTCGACTCCTCGGACACGTTCAGCGCTTTGATCTTGTTTTCTATCCAGTAAATTCGATGTTTATTATCAATCACAGCCTTTGATGTTCACACAGCTTCACGTGTACGCGTCCGTGGAGCAGTGCACGTGTGAACGAATCCAACATGTCGGAGAATCATCGGACTCTCCCAACATGGATGTCAAACAAAGACACGGTGAAAGAGAAGAGCGGCAGCAAATCCAAAGTAACGAGGTAATGCATGAAAACAACAACATGGAGTCTGGTTTGTGTGATTCATCGGTTGAACAGAAACTCGTCGGTGTGTTTTCAGGTCTGTGTTCTATTGTATGAACGAGGAAGAGCTGCTGGAAGCTGCTGTCGTATCTCACCAGTACTGCCTGCCAGGGTGCTGCTCTCCCTCTGGACCACAAGGTGCCGCTGTTTAGGAGAAACCTGTCCTGACAGATGAATGACTTGTAAACATTGTGTCATATATAATTATAACTTTCATTATGTCACAAACTCCTACAGCCTGGAAACACAGAGCTGACAAGTCTAAATGACACGGAAAGTCCAACAACGGAGAAGCAATTTAAAGAATTTTCATGAGAATTAAAACTACATTTTACATATTGTATCAAATATGTATTTAAATATTTTATGAAATATCAATACATATATGTTATGATATAGACTTACTTAAATAGAATTGATAAATACAAAATAAAAATAACAAACACATGTTATAGTACTGGAGAATCAACACTAAATTAAAAAAAGTATGATCGAAAAATATTTTCATTAAAAACAAAGTTAGCTAACTTAGAATATAATATAATCAGGCCCACTTTGTACTTTACAGAATCATATTTTTTACCATTTATTGCAAAGGCGATAAAATGCAGGTTATTCCCTGAACCACTGTCTAAAACGTGGTTGTCCTGTCTTGCAGGTTGGTGACAAAGCAGTTGACACCACTGTGATGATCAGAGAGAAACCTGCTTCTTCAAAGACCAAAGCAAAGCCAGCGGTCGAGGCTTTAGAAGAGGAGTCTTCGGACTGCCCTGATGCTCAGGAGGTCACATACATTTCAGAAACAGACTTGGACATTACTGAGGTGGAGACGCTGCCGTACACAAAGGGCCAGGGACTCCGGGGTCAGAGGTCAGGACCGGTTCAGGGCCCTGGTGGTCTATTGAACCCTGAGCTGGACCCTGACAGACCTGTGGAGCGCTCACAGACGCCAGCAGATGCAGAGGACGATGGCTTACAGCTTGTACGTGAAATATTTTTCACCTGATGATGAATCGCTCTGAAATGTGTGTTTTAGAACAAAGGAAAATCTTCTCTTATGGGGGAATGTTACCCAAATTACAATTTCACAAGGCAGTCCCAGCAGAACTGCGTCTGTGGAGCTGAAAACTGGTGTATTGCGAGGTAAAATGTGGCAAAGCTGGATTTAACACAACCAAGAATCTTAGAGTGAGGCTTGACATGGTTTATTCTGTGTTCATAGAGCTGATACATTTTCACTTTTTTGAACAACATGAATTAATGAAGAGGTTTTACTTTGGTTGTTAAAAATTAACATTAAATTGATAAATAATAACACTCATGCCTGGTAATGGTTAAATAAAAGAGTTCAATATAATTTAAATAATTATGATTTAAGATAATATCTGTCAGCTTATCTGTTGTAACTGCTTTGGTTTTCTTTTCGTCAGCTTTTGTCCTTCAGCAAACATATCAACTAACATGGAACAAATTAAAATACGATACTAATTCTACAAACGTCTTTCTGTCTGTATGTGGCGCAAATATCACACGATGCTTTCACTATTAATACAATGGAATAAACAGGCGACCAGCACTCTATAGCACTCTAGATGTTCTTCTACATCTTACAGGATAGGTGCTGATCTCAGTCATGTCAACAACATTCATACAATCACTTCCTGTTTGGCAATGTGTCCACAAAGTGAAAGCCCAACATTTATTGTCAAGCTGCAATGCTTTATATTCAGCTGAATAACATTTTGGGGTCTGACTATCTAATATGCACTGTTGCAAAATAACAGCACTTAAATAAATCAGTCATTGCAGATAAACCATGGACACAGGTTTTCTTACTTTAGTCTGCATCATGAAAAAGCTCTACACACAAACAACAAAGTTACAGTATATTCTAGGCAGGCAGGCAGGCTTACAACAGGTACTGCACTTTTATATTTATAACAAATTGGTCATCACAGCTGTGATTACCAGCTCAACCTGCACAGCCACATAGTTGTAAAACCCGATGGTCATGTGTTCCCAGGCCACATACGGCAGATTGAGGAGCAAAAACACAATGATGCCAGTCAGGATGAGCAGGCTTGACACGGCCTGGCAGACAAGGCTCACCCACAGCAGGGCTCTATCTTTGGTGTAGGCCATGAACAGCATGGCCAACAAGGAAAAGGCCACCAGCAGCACTGGAACATACAAACCCAGGACAATTTTAATCTCAGTCACAGCTCCACTGAAAGGGTAGCAGCACATGTCACCGTGTTCATGTGTTAGACAAATTTGAAAGGGGCTGATGAGGATGACATCGGAACGAATGAACACAGCAGCAGAGAGAAACAAGGAGGCCAACACCTGAGTCAAGATGAGCAGGAGACACAATGAAATCCATAAAAGGTTTCCAGTGGGATTGTTCATAGTAAGGATAGCGACAGCTGTTGCCTGTTGAGACTGGAACCTCCGACCTGTAGATGTAAAGTTCATATTGACAGAAATCAGTACATGAATTATGCTTCAACTTATTTGACAAAATGACCAATGAATTCAGTATTTATGAATGAACTTACCTCTTATCATGATTGGTGAAGTAAAATCCTCTGCACAGATGCCTGATGGCTGAATTTCTGACCAGTGATCACAGTGCTGAATAAAATAATTATATTAATGGGCCTCAGTTGTTCTTACTTTAATATGTGAGTTTATTACACCATGGCTCTGTGGACAGAGAGGATTACTGGTCTAATGTACGTGCGGACAGTCAAACCAAAAAGCTTCAAGTTTGATCTAAAGCATAAATGAGGAAGCTGTCTAACATGATTTTGGTCAGGCATTACTCAACTCACACGAGGTGTTAACTGCATTAATATGTGGATAAGTTCCTGTGACTCAGGCTGATCGTGTTTATGTGCTCAACCATCACAGTCACCTCACATCAAAAAGAAACCAAAAGTGAAACCAGTTTTATCAAAATAAGTCAGAAATCTAATCTAAGTACAAATATAAAAACTGACGATGTTAAATGACTCTGCAGTTTAATTTTATTTGCAGTCTACTTACCTTTAGGATCAGCTGCTGTCTTGATTTGATCCTGCTCCCTCCGATGCTTCTGAGTGCTGCTGGAAACGGGAACACACACACACACACACACACAAACACACACACACACACACACACACACACACACACACACACACACACCGCAAACACACACACACAAGGCAGAGCAGTAGACCAATCTGTGACAATAAACTCATGTAACATCTTCCTTCCTGCAGTAAGATACTAAACATAATTATACATTATAAAACATGACAGGATTTACCTTATTACTCGTACAAAGATGTTTATTATTATTCATCACACCCACTACAGTTGGAAATACCAATACTGATATGTTGCCAGAATACAAATCTGATCAACCCCCTCCAAAGGTTTAGTCTGTCCAGAGGCTTGCTCTGCGTATAGCTGTGGCCCTGCTCCACTCGACATGGTGAATATGGGTTTGTGAGGAAGGGTATGGTGTGTGGGATGCCCCCTAGGGGCCATCCTCACTCACAAAGCACCACCTGCGTGTACTGGCCACTCTGTTTTGCAAGGGAGGTGATAGCTCAGTCCATAGCGACTTGGTTTGGGAACCGGAGGGTGGCCAGTTCAAGTCCAGGTGCCAGTTTACCTCCTGGGCACTGCCAAGGTGCCTGTGAGCAAGGCACCAAACCCTCCAATTGCTCCCCAATAAAGCCTTCATGGCTGCCCACTGTTCCATGTGTGATCCCCAATTTGCATACTGTGTGTGGGACCATAGAGGAATCTTAATCTGCTGCATGTGCAGCTGATTGCTCCAGGGGCCTGACAGATCTACAGAGTTAAAACTATGGTGATGGCTTTACAAACACACTGTGTTTACTAACCACAGACTATGATACTTATTCACATTTAAATTCAGCATTTCTTCTTTTGTTTAACATGAATGAATACTTTTTTAAAAACTTTTTTCATCTGTAGTTACAGTAAATCACTACAGATGTTAAGTTGACAAATCAAAGCAGAAACCTTCTGAAATTTCCATGAACAACAGCACTGAACACTGAATGAGTTTCTACTGAGCACTATACTGTAAAGTCATTGTATGAGGAAACAAAAACACTGATTCAACAAAAAGGAAGAATAACAATTCACAATTAATAATGTCATTTAAATAAATATTCATAAATGAAATGTATATACATCCTGATCTATCATAACTGCTTTGGTTTTCGTCAGCTTAAAGGTTCAGTGTGTAGACTTGAGTGACATCTAGTGGTGAAGTAGCGTGTAGGAGCTGGATACCCCTCACCTTCCAAACATGAAGGAGAACCTGTGGTGGTCTTCAGTTGTCATACAAACTCAAAAGGTGTTTAGTTTGTCCAGTTTGGGCGACTGTAAAAACCCTGACAGCCTCTATATAGAGGACCTGCTCCCAATATAAATATAAAGTATTTCAATATAAAGGCTCTAGGGTAAAGAAAACAAATATTAACACACAAGTAAAAACATCACTAGGATTATTTTATATTCAATTTCTGCCAATAGATCCCTTTCACCTAAATCTTACACACTGGAACTTTAGGAAAAAGTCGAACAATAATGTAACAATAATAATTCTATTATTTGAAATTCAATTTAATTGTAACACTCATAATTTTTTTCCTTCTTTTCACAGATAAAAATTACTTCCCTTTTGTGAATCTTTAAGAACACTTGTCCCAAGCTGAAGCAGGGACAGTTTGGACCCGACTACTTCCAGTCTGGTCAGTCACAATAGATCCTCCTCCTCGACACATGGGTCAGCACAGCGGTGATCACCAGCTGAACCTGCACACCCACACAGGTGTAAAACCAGAGGGTCATGTGTGTCCAGGCCACATACGGCAGATTGAGGAGCAAAAACACAACGATGGCGGTCATGATGAGCAGGCTTGACGCAGCCTGGCAGACCACGCTGAGGCACAGCAGGGCTCCATCTTTGGTGTAGGCCAGGAACAGCATGGCCAACAAGGAAAAGGGCACCAGCACTACTGGAATGTACACACCCAGGATAACCACTATTACGAGGAAGTTAATGAATATCTCAGTCTCAGCTCCACTGAAAGGGTAGCAGCGCATGTCAACGTGTTCATGTGTTGGACAAATTTGAAAGGGGCTGATGAAGACGTCATCGGAGCGGATGAACACACCAGCAGAGAGAAACAAGGAGGCCAACACCTGAGCGAAGATGAACAGGAGCCACATTGAAATGCATAGGATGCGTCTGGTGGGATTGTTCACAGAGAGGACGGAGCTGGTCGCAGCTGATTCAGGCCCCATGACCTCTGACCTGTAGATTGAATATTCATATTGACAGAAATCAATGCATGACGAGGTGATTATAAGGATTGTGATTCACATAGAGTAAAGGTATTTGACAAATGATCTATGAATTCAGAATGGGTGAAAATACGCCTTCATCGTCAGTAATGAACTTAGAGTGGGACACTTCTGAAGTTCACAGCACAAACACACCTGTGACACAACAGCAACTGAGTCAGGGGTTTAATATTCAACCTCGGGCAGATCAGCTGATCCCTTTGTTTATGTCTGACTGAACGCTTTAAAATCGAAACCAGAAGAGAATATTAAGATAAACAGTCCAGCGTTTTGTTTTGGCGATCACTCTGGAATCACAGAGTATAAATACTAATTCTTAAAGTTGGACAGAGTGCAGAAGTTGTGCAGTTTGATTTGTTTGTAGTTTACTTACTTTTGTGAATCTGCGACAGTGCTGCTCTATGTCATGAACGCGTCGCCTGCAGTCTGAGCCTCGAGCCTGGATCGTGAACGTGCAGGGGGCGCGCTTTCAGCCGGTAGCGCGCTTAAGCAGACAGTTTGGAGAGCGTTCTTCTCAGAGTCGAGTGCGAGCTCATCTGCAGCGTTACCACATTTCACCGCAACGGGAAAAAGGGTTGAAAAAGGTTGGTGACACTCATGTTCCAGCTATTTCTTTTTAACTTTAAACCTACAAGCGTGTTGTTCTGTGCACTTTGGAGGGTTTAGACTTTTTGTTCAGCACGAGGAGGGAGGCGGGGTCGTCTGCTGCAGCTTCTTTGTTCCTTTTGCTCTGAGCATTAATGATTAGATGTGTTTGCATTGATAATTAATCATATGCGGGTTTGTGCTGGCATCATGTTGTTAAAGTGTATGTGAGCATGTGGATCCAGGGTTGTGACGAACGACACATTGGGAACAAGGTGTGGTTGTTTCACACGAACACAGGGAGAACAAAACCTTTCATTTGTATTTATTAAATGCTCTGCTCGTCTAAATATGTCTCCGACTCATGCCTCATTGTGATGAGGTGCAAAGAAAGAATCGAAGGCACACATTCACCCTATGGACCACGCTGTACAGAACACAGTGTGTGTTACATGCTGCTGCCCCTGGGCTCAAGAAAACATTATGTACCAAAACGCACAGACTGGAATATCCGTTGCACACATTGTGAAATCAATCTTGACAACTTTAGTTAAGTTTATTTCTTTCATTTTTGTTGTTTTGTAACATTGAATAATGTTGTATATTTGCAAATTAAGTGTCAACTTAATATGCAATCAGCAACCACAGGAATATGAAATATTATGATATACTTTGTACTTCATTATAATATACTTCACTGTTGCCCATCTTGACCAGGACTCCCTTATAGAAGATTTTTTTTTTATCTCAATGGGACTTTCCTGGTTAAATAAAGGACAAATAAAGAAAACTACCATTACACTCGGTGCAGCTCACACCTCCACCAAGGCCCAACAGTCTCCTGAAATATAACCAAGCTGCACCAAATTGCACCTATTTTTTTAAATCATAACTTATGTCTGATCATGCCATGTTAAAAAAATATATATATTAATTGGATTTTGCAGACTTAACTTAACAAAAACACAGATCAACATATTTACAAAAAAACTCACACACACACACACACATACACATACAGACATAAAACTCACTGTTCTCATGTGACTGTTATACTGGGAAACACAAGATACTGTATTTTGTGGCATCACAACATTGCTCAGCAAAAATCCTGATAGATAATAGAAACATTTCCCTGCATTTCACCCAAAAAGTTAGGTTTCCAATGGCTTAGAGAGACTTTTTTACCAACTACAAAAAAACAAATTATAAGAAATTCCTGGATCCGCCCCCTGATCCCAATCTTTATCAAAATGTAATGGGTTCTTCCTGGACCCATATGGCATCTGTCCAGCAGGTTTCATGGTAATCTGTCCAGTAGTTTTTGTGTAATCTTGTTTACAAACAAACCAACAAACAGACTTAACCTCCTTGACAAAGGTTATAACTTGCTTTTTGCAACCACTTGACTAATAAAATTGGACATCTGATCCTTGAAAATAATCTGATTCTCATTTCTTGAAGCTCTGCACAGGTTCACCATGGGAAACAAGTTCAGCAGAAAACGAGACGAGACTGTCCCTGAGCAGACGACTGCAGCAGAGGAGACAGCAGTTGCTCAGCCAGCAGAAGAGTCTGCGATACCCTGCACCCAAGAGGCTGTGGAGACAAAGAATCTCGATGTGGTGGTGGGTGAGTGTGTGACACAGTTGGCGTGCAAAGGGGTAGAGGCTGTTGCTTGCTACGCTGGGTTAAATGATGCTGAACCAGAGCCTGTTAAAGAGGAAGCTCCAGCCCAACCCAACCTTCTGGACTCAATCAGCGAACCATCCCCTCCAGAACCAGAACCTGTTGCAGAACCAGAACCTGTTGCAGAACCAAAACCTGCTGCTGAGGCTCTGATTTCCCTGGATCCAGAACCTGTTCCTCAAGAAGAGCCTCTCTCAGATCCCCATGTGGAAGTTGAGGCTGTCCTGGAGCCCACCTCAGAGTTACCACCAGTCCCGGCTGAGGCTCTGGAGCAACCCACAGACATGCTCACTGAGTCCTCCCCTGAGCCAGAGCCTATCTCTGCTCCTTTGATTGACCTGGCTGTCCCTGATGTCCCTCCCCAACCTGTTGACACTCCTCCCTCCCCAACTCCCACCCCTGAACCAGTCGATGAAGATGAGCCCGCAGACATCCCAGAAGGCGAGGAGTGCCAAGACATTGCTGAGATCTGCACGTTTGAGCTGGAAAAGTCTGAGTCTCTGGAAGAGCCGGCGGAGGTGGAGGCCGCAGAGAATTTGGAGCAGATCGTGAGTCATGTCGAAGAGGAAAGCATTAGTGGACTCCTGCACAAGTTAGATCTGAAAGGAAATGACCTCATCCCCATTGATGTCACAATCCCAGATGACCCTCCCATCACAGACATCAGCCTGTCTGCCGAGCTGATTTGAATCCAATAAGCGAAAGAAGTGAATAGATATTTTTTTCTGTGAAACACTTTTTAACCTTTTTCATGACTTCTGACTTCACAAATACAATGATTGATTCCTCATGTGTGCAGCCTAATAAAGGGGAACGGCTTATTTTCTCTTTCAAAATGAACCAGATGTGCCAAGTGAACATAATGATGTCTAAATACTGACACATTTATGTTTTTGGATACATGTATACTGCCATATACTATCTGTGGGTGATGAGTACAGAAGCTCAAGCAGGACAGGGGATATAGGTTTACTTACGTTTATTGATGGACACGGAGATCTTCCTCTATGCAAAATTCACAGGGCAAGAATTTAAATGTATTTCTCATAGGGACTTGAAAGAGGTGCTGTTGCTTTATGAAAACCTAAAAGTTATATGATAGAGTAGCAAATAATCATGTTAATTGAGTGCAAAGGGAAAAGTATGTTTTTTGAAGTGGATAATCCATTAATTCAAAACGACAGGTATAAGGGACAATAGCAATGCGACCAAAAATGGAGAGCATATTTGTATCTGATTATATACAAGTTTTCAATAAACATTTTTGCTTTAAAATACTTGTTTGGATTTTGCAATATTCCTCCAACAGGAATAGAAATCTTGTATTATCAGGTGTTTTTTAGAATTAAAGTCGTGCCTTGGTTGTGGAAATAAAATTATTTCATGTGTGGTATCGTCATGCATCCTGTTTTTTCTAAGTAGAGGAAATAATGTTAGACCATGTTGAACGTTCAGAGAAAAGAAGTGAAATAAAAGCGAGCTGGTGCGATACGTCACATTCATCAGCTCCAGATGTACAGTAGCTGTATTCTCGTCCCATCACACTGAACGTGGAATGTGACCCGGCTCCACTAGGACCCAAGGGATGTGTGCCAGGCAGGGATCTGTTAAATGAACACACTTGAGCAATAGGGAGATTTCTTCATGACACAGCATACTGAACAACAGGCTCGTACACGTATGGGACACAGTGCACATGGAAATCAAATTACAGTCAACACAGCTAGATCTTGTAATAGAGACAGCGGCTTCTCGCAGTCTCGTGGGAAAGAGGACAAGAAGAGTAGGGGGAGAGACTAGGCCACATTCTTTCCAGAGGAGGGAGGTTTTCGGGGGGCCTGGGTCAAAAGTCCTCAGTGTGACTGCATTTCAGTCCATGAGAAATCTGCTCCACATATGCTTCCCCCCCGGCCCTCACTGCATTACTATCCCTGTGTCTTGACTGGAGAAGTGAGCTAAGAGACGCCTGCTGAAAAACTTAAAACCCTAAAAAATAACTGGAGGAACACTTATGCAATGTCACCAAGATGTACGACATTCAGCTCACAGTGGAGACAACATTTAATCTGTATGAGAAGATCACCACAGTTCCAGAATCCATAAGAAGTCCCACTCACATTAAACATTTAGGCCTTGTCTGGTCACACCTCACTTTAACAGCTCACACCACAGGGCACGGCTGACTGGTAAGTCCCATGGTTTTGACAACACACTGGTGATGAGTCTCCGTGGAGAGGGAGCGGCGCTCTAGTCAGTGATCCCAGTCAAGTCATCCTTTAGTAAATACGTTCATGTCATACCAGAGGGTTTCAGTTCAATAAACAAATGTGCTGCAGTCAAGTCACCCCCCCGTCCTTATTGATTTCCTGTCTCTTAATGCATTACAATGGCCAAAAGAAGAAATACAAAGAAAACACAAATTGGGGTTTGCTTTTGTGGCAGCGATCAAGGAAGGAAACTAAATACGAGTTTTTAAGGTTGTTTTTTTAGTGTACGGCTGTTTTGTCAAGGATGTTACGCAAAAATTGCTGAGCCAACATTGAAATTAAGTGGAAGGGTGGGGTATGGCAAGATTGGGCGTTAGCTTTGGCTGAGGGATGCGATCTCTATCCTTGTGTTTTTGTCCTGAAACTATCTTTTTGTTAAAAATTAAAAGCAGAAGTTGTCAAACTCAAACGAAAACACAAATCAAGTTTTATATACTGGAAAAAGAAAATACCCAACAAACAGATTTTTATATTTAAAGCTAGCAATTGTGTTGATATAACTTTGTAACTTTAACTCAAGTCATTTGTGTTTTACACATCTAAGTAATTGTTTAAAGGTCCAGTGTGTAAGATTTAGGTGAAAGGGAACTATTGGCAGAAATCTTATGTAGAATAATCCTCATGATGTTTTCACTAGTTCATTTCATCTAAATTGTATGAATTGTAGATTTTTTTAGCCTAGAAAAGACCCTTTATATTTAAATACTTTGTATTAACTAGTCCAGACTGGACAAACTAAACACCTTTTGAGTTTTGATGACAAATGATGGCCACCACAGGTACTTTTTCATGTTTAGAGAGGAGGGTGAGGGGTGTTTAGCTGCAACATGCAATTTCAACACTAGATATCACAAAATTCTACACACTGTACCTTTAAGTTTGTTAACAATTTTCAAATTTTCAGTGTATTAAAATGAGAACAACTTTTATCTTAAAATTTATAGTAGGTTAAATTAATTAAATTCTCCAAACTGGTGAATAACTATGACAAGGCCTACAAACAGTACTAAAATAGCTGTAGAGTATTCAATACAGAGTATTTAAAGCTTGGCCTTTTTTTGCCTAAACTTAAAAACATTGAGCAATCAACTCTGACAGTTGCACATGTGACAACACAGTGGTCCTGCACAATGTGATAGTGATTCATCAAATAATGGTGCAACAGCAAAATGACTTAACTAGAATGGTGAATACTTAACATGTGGTAAATCTTATCCACACAAGAGTCTGGAGCAATTAATTGTTAAGAAACATCCCAGTGGTTTCTGAGACTCAAGTGATATTATCCTGTAAACACGCGTCATAGTGCCTGCAGCTTCATGAATCCAGTACAAAGAAATATTGATAGTGAAGATATTGACAGAAACATTAAAAAACTCAAACACTAGTTTAATGTAATGTAAAAAAAACAATTTACAGTATCTGTCAAAACACTAAAACTACAGCAGAAACTATGTTGAAGAGAGAGCAAACTTAATACAAAGTATTCAAAATCAGGCTCAATAAATTAGAGGTATATGGAGTGTGTACAGCTTTGGATAACTGTACAATCAAAACAGAAGTATTTGAGATAACTCAAAGCTGTTGACTTCCAGAGGACCATTATTAATGGTCAGTGACATCATCCATGGTTTTATGTTTCTGAAGGCAAAGACGAGCAGAAAGTAAGGCCGTTAATCTTAATGCATTTTGACATTTATCTTGAAACACCAGCACTTTATTTCCAGAGTTTCTCTTGTTACCATTAGCTGCCTGTATTTCTTGGCCAGGCCAACATTGGTGCGTCCAGGTTGGAAGGGATATGACCACAAGATGGAATTCCAAGAGAAGCCAAATCTCTTTACTCCGTTCAGTAGGTAATGCACCTCCTCAACGCAGAAATCCTTCCTCTGTCTTCTCTGAAAATAATATTAACAATGAGAGAAAAGGCAAAACTAAGAATTAGACAGAGAGGAGAGTTCAGATTATTTGACAAGTCACATGTGCATGGATGCACACTTGTACTTCACACTTGTGCATTTTTTGTGTAATTCATAATTAACTAACTAATAACTATCTGACCCAAACTGTGTGTGCTGTAACTAAAAGATTTTGCAGATTTTCATATCGTATAAGAAAAACATTTGCTGGTCCTGTGAAGTCGAGGTACTTCGTCTTGACTACTGGCAGTAAACTTAATGCGCTGCAGCAGAGTCATGGTGATAAAAAGCTGCTGGAAAACCTAACAAGTTATAAAACATCAACATTTTTGACAGATAATATTCGTTCACACTCTTACAGTGGAGCAGAGATCTGTGCTAGTCTTCGGCTTGTTATCAAGAACACAATGTCCAAGATTATCCCTCCCTCTTCTCTCTGTGTTTGAAAGAAAAAAAGTTTGCATTGGTGCCTGTGTGTGTGCATATGTGTAAGACTGAGCCTTTATATAAAAAGAGACAATTTATCTTTTCACTCTTTCCTTACTCCTCCATTTTGGCTAATACAGCTGTTGTGCTTACAAAACAGAAAGAGACGTATGGCGGATGAGAAAGAGGAGGCAGGCGGGGTCAGAATTAAGACAGAAAAAGAATACATTATGGGAGGCGGAGAAAGATGGAAAAAACAGATGAACAGAACAGAGCAAGAATGAAAATGTGGGTTTTGCAGTGGAAGAAAAACTATTTTAAGTGTAGACTCCCACAAAGTGAGCATTGGAAAATAATTTTGGCTGAGAGGTATGAAGATACAGTGAAGCTCTGCCTGACAGTCAGTCTCCAGTCTGTAGCAAATTTTAGGTCACAGAAAGTCTGACAGACACCCTGCAATTGCACTCCTTTCACTGTTATGCGACAACTCAAAAACATTATAACACAATATCTCAGTCTGTCACACGCACACACACACAAACACATTGTGACACAGCTTAATACAGCTGTGCTGCTCTCAACCAGCTCTGGCCTGCACTGTGAGAACACTGGCCACAGTTCAACATTCCTTCTGCCTTTGTCTGCTGCCAAGAACACACAGCAGAAGACAGCTCCCATCACAGGCTCTCAATCATAACATTCACACACACACACTTAATTTGATCTGCTGCACACATATTTACCTGCAAGTAGGTGCTGCCTTTTCAGACATGACAAGTATCAAAGACAACAGTGCACATTGCATTTAATAACATCACATACATACCAGTCTTGTTTTGAGAAGTGACCATCCTCTTTTTAGCTCCTCTGTGCAGAGGAGTCAGAGCAATGCCTATGAAATGTGGAGTTAGATGACACCCAAATAACACACTTGAAGAATGTTGTACATGTGTGTTACATGAATAGCTTATTTCTAATAATATCAGGCAACAGCTTGCAAGAGTTCAATTAGTTCGTTTAGCTTTCAGGAAGAAGTATTTACAACAGTCAAACTGCTTTTCACAGGATTATGCAAAAAACCACTGAATGGATTTCCACAAAATTTGGAAATATGGGTAATGGACCAGGTAGGAAAACATTTTGGCACTGATCTGGACAAATTGGCAGTTCCAGGAATATTTTTTCTTTGACATTGTGAGTTTTGTTTTTTTGACGTTTCAACAATTTCCCAGGAAATAATTTTTGTATCTTGATGAAACAAATGAGGCAAATTAAGGAGAGTGATATCCATGTGTGTGCAATATGGTGCGGATCCAAATAAAAATGTGGATCAAGCAGCTTTAAATGTGATTTCTTGGTTAGATGGGATTTCTACTGCTATACTCTAACACTAGAAACCTTAAACTAACTCCAGTGTGTAACAGAGGTGTGGCCTTAGCTCTAAGGCTTTTCTGAATCTAAGGAGACTGTTGGGCCTTGGCGCTGGAATGAACTCGACTAAGTTTAATTCTACTTATCATATTACAAAAGAGACAACCTTGTGTTAAAGAGGCATGTAAAATTGACTTGCTTCTTACCATGCTGCTTCTTCCAGTGGGCCTCTGGAAAGCAGTGCTTGAGTTTTCCTGCTTCTTTACATAAGGGAGTCAGGGAGACCTTGTTTACTGCAGATAAGACAGCAGTAGTTAGAGATGACAATACATGTTTCTCTATTAGCTTATCATAATAATAGTTAGGACAAGGAGAATAAAACTGACTGTTCCATAAAACTGTTTTAAACAGCTAA